CCTGCTGTTCAGTCGTTTGGTCATCCCTCACTAACCCCCCTGCCGGCCTGGTTGTAGGCAGCCATCTTGTGAGGGCATGAGGGTTAATTTGCATACTACTTCTTTATTATATAGGATTGTATAATCTCCAGCTCATATTCAAATTTCACCAATTGTTCTACTCTATTCCAAAAGAAGAACAAATTTTCTAGTCCAGGATTCAATCCAGGAGCATACATAACATCTCTATCTCCTTTAATCTGTAACAGTTCCTCAGTCTTTGTTGTTCATGACATTGAAATTTTTGAAGAGTACAGATCATTTACTTTTTTGTTTTAACCTTCACCTGAGGATATGTCTCCATTGATTTTTAGAGAGAGTGGAAGAGAGAGGGAAAGACAGAGAGAAGTATCAATGTGAGAGAAACAGACTGATTGGTTGTCTCCTGCACACGCCCAAGCAGGAGGTATGACGTGCCCTTGACCAGAATCGAACCCGGAACCCTTCCGTATTCAGGCCGACACTCTATCCAGTGAACCAAACCGGCTAGGGCTGTAATGGTTAAATTTTTACATTGACCCCATAAAAAAAAGGATTAAGTAGCCTTTTGAAACTTTTTTTTTTCAGCTTACAAAAGTAATGCAGACCTATTAAGAATTCTTCTCTTTCAAGTCCATTCATAAAGTGACGACACCTCTCAATCTTACCTTATTTCCTCAGCTCCTTATTTTGTAGTCTCTACTCCATTAAGACCATTCTCCTTCCTTCTGCTCAAATACCACACTAATGCCTTTGATCATATTGCTCATCCTTAAAATGCTTTAAATGTGTTATAGTCTCTCACCTATCCATATCTTCCCATCCCCTAAGGATCAGTTCAAGATTATAGTTTATATCTTCAGAGAAGTGAAAAAGCCTAGGAAACCAAACAAAGGAATCTCATAAAGTAACTTAAATTGATCTTTAGAATTGCATTCATTGTGTTCTTAGAATCAAACACATCCTTATGTCTGTGGTAAAAATGGATTTGATTATACAGGTATATAGTAATAACTGCAAAGTATTAAATTGAAAGAACACTTCAACTAGGATGTCCATTTCTATTACTTAAGGCAGTACCTACGCAATCATTTAATGGAATCAATATATTTTTTCACAGTTATACATAAGAATATGCAAAATAGAACATTTGTCTTTTTAATTCACAGGTCTTGAAGCTTGCAGAAGAATTTGAACAATTAAATCATTTTACTGTAGACACAAATATTGCAGCTGCTAATTTTTTTACAAGTGAAAATATTTATAAAGATCTCATGTCTAATTTACCAGATTTGGAAGTAGAGATTCAAAGCCCAAAGGAAGAGAGAGAGGAACTCTGGTAAATTGAGAAAATCCCATATTACATTAATAATTTGGGGGGTATGTTTTATTTGACTTTATCATTGAATTCCAAATAATGTGAGTGGAAAAATTAGGTACAAGCAATTATTCCCCAAAGTTTATCTTCTGGTATATTGTTACATTTTAAAACTTTATCTTTTAAAAATAATAATAATATATGCTTTTCTTTTTTAAAAAAATATAATTTAATTAATTTCAGAGAGGAAGGGAGAGGGAGAGAGAGATAGAAATATCAATGATGAGAGAGAATCATTGATCGGCTGCCTCCTGCACGCCCCCTATTGGAGATCGAGCCCACAACCCGGGCATGTGCCCTTGATCAGAATTGAACCCAGGACCCTGAATCAAACCCAGGACCCTTCAGTCCGCAGGCGGACGCTCTATCCACCAAGCCAAACCAGCCAGGGTAAATATATGCTTTTCATAGAAAAATTTTAAAGCATGAAAAATTATAAGGAGATTATAATAATCCATAATTCCCACCATGGAGAGATATTAACATCTTAAATTTTCTTTCTTGTCTTCTTTTTCTGTACACAAATATATATGTATTTTTTATATAATTAAGACTCTGCAGAGAGATTTGTGTTTTTTGTTTTATTTAACATATCTGACCATTGTTTTATTTTGAAAACCTTTTTCTTTCTGGTCTTTCTTTTGTTTTTTGCTTTTTGTTAATCTTGTCTTCTAACTCTAGTATTTCTACTTTTTCACCAGAAGTATCTTTCACAGAAACTTTTGAGGGTCGGGTAAATGCACTACTCTATTTTTGCATACAAACTAATACATGCAATAAAATTTTGCATGGGCAAAAGCCTAAAACCAGATCATCAAAAGGAAACAATAGTTGTCAGTTTTTACTTATATGCCATACTAAAGGATATAGCATCAATGAACTGGGAAATAGAATATTTGTGTAGGTGTAGCCACATTTATATCTTAATAAATGTTCTAAGAGAGGAGATTGTTTTGCCAGTTTGGGGCCCCTGAATTTCATGTTCTCTTAAAAACTGGTTTTTAAATTTAGAGAGAGCTCTGAGTCAAGGTTCACCATCATGAAACCTACCTAGTTGCAGAAGGGTGAAGAACATATTGGAGGGATGGTGATGAACAGGTGTGAGAGTGGTCACAAGAGCAAAGAGCCAAGAAGCTAATCACAGCATTTGGGTTTGCTTGGGGGGGAGGGGAGAAAAATATAGTTTTGAGCACTAGAATAGTGTACAGTAAAACCTCCATATAATGAACTGATTCAGGTGAGCAGGTGTCTGTTAAAGCCCAAAGTCCATTATATAATAAAGTAGTTTTTCCAAATGTGTATGTTAAAAAATTGACAGATTAGTTAATTTACCTGTTTTTACTTATATAAACATGTTTGTGTAATTAAAGTTAAGTATGTATGAAAAGTTTAATTTCACAGAAAAGTTTTCTATATGTATTACTGTAATTTTAAATTTATACTGAATAGCTTATTGAGGGTTTATAAAATTTTTTCACAAGCTCCGCCTGCCCAGTGCCATACTAAAAGTTGAAAAAGTGAAAAACTCAAACTGGTTGTTTGGGTGTAGACAAAAGTCTATGCTGTGTCATCTTCCTGAATGTGAGTAAGAAAATAAGACTCGTGTGTTTTTAAGGTTTAATTATAAGGTAATTGATCTATAGAATTCAAGTTGAAAATCTTTCTTGCAATACTTTCTCGACTGATAGATTTTTTCCCCTCCATATTCTGCCAGTAGAATGAGCATTTTGATAGTTTTTTTATTGTTATATTTAACCAAGTTCTGGACTAGGAGAAAGTAAGCTGAAAGAAACTCCAGAGGAGTCAGTAGAGGGCACTTTTCCAAGAAAGAGGCAGAGAGAGGAGGACTTACAGCAGAACCAAGATATGAAAAGGGAAGAGCAGCAATTGACCTGGAAGCCTGAGGAAGCTGTGAGGCTTAAGGAAGAGGTGAGCCATCTACATTAGAGCCCCTCAGTCTCAGAGATATGGGGTGATGCCAAGGCAGGTGCCATTTCCTCTGATCAGCTGTGGATTAAAAAATATTTTATATGTATATTTGTTGAACTATATCATAACCACAGCCTGAGGGGTAATAAGATAGCAGCTAAAATCTGAACTAAGCCCCTCATTTGATGCACCTTATTATAAAGGGTTCATAGGCTCCAGTGAGGCTCAACAGGGGGGAAAAAAAACAAAACTAATTATCATTATCTGTCCTGGCAGGTAAGATAGGGGATGGCAGGATTTGTGCCACATTTTCTATTCCTGGTACCTCATTTAGATGTATAAAATACTTAGTTTTAGAGAAAAAAAGACCATGATTATAGAATTGTTTTAAATATGGCTTTTGCTATTTACCAGAGATCTGCCTCCAGGAAAAATGAAGGAAATGACTGTTGGCCACACTTCAGTTCTTACACCTCAATTTTACAGGTTAATTCTTTTATTTATTTATTTATTTATTTACTTATTTACTTATTTACTTATTTATTTATTTAAATTCTCACCCGAGGATATTTTTCCATTGATTTTTAGAGATAGAAGAAGAGAGAGGGAGAGACAGAGAGAAATATGTGAGAGAAACACATCGATTGGTTGCCTCCTGCACATGCCCCTAGCAGGGCCTGGGCTGGTCGGGGAGGAGCCTACAACCAAGGTACATGCCCTTGACCAGAATCAAACCCGGGATCCTTTAGTTTTCAGTCCGACACTCTATCACTGAGCCAAACTGGCTAGGGCTACAGGTTAATTCTTGTACAAGTTAAGATTTCCCTGCACACACCTTTCTGACAACAATTTTGAGATCCAATAAACAAAATAGATGTGGGTCTCATGGGAAAGAAATAACATATATTTATTTTGAACTTTACATTTCCCAAAGCACTGTGACACACACACACACACACACACACACACACACACACACGCACACACACACACTATTTCATTTACTTCTTTAAGCAGGCAAGGAAGGAAATACATTTTAGACTGATTTTTTTTTCTGCAGTGAACTGTGCAGTAGTAATTTCAGAATCTTTTTCTGTGTATAGAGTTCTTTGACCTACTGATGAGTATAGGTTGTTCTTTTTTGAAAGTTCTTGTGTGTGTACAAAGGTTTTTTTGTTTTTGTTTTATGTTTTTTGTTAATCCTTACCTGAGGATATTTTCCCACTCATTCATTCATTTATTCATTTAGAGTGGAAGGGAGGGGGAGAGACAGAGAGAGGAAAATATCAATGTGAGAGAGACGCATCCTTTGGTTGCCTCCTGCATGTGCCCAAACCAGGGCTAGGGATTGAGCCTGCAGTTGAGGTACGAGGTACATGTCCTTGATCGGAATTGAACCTGGGACCCTTCAGACTCTAACCTGTTGTCAGATTAGAGTGTCTAGTATCTAGCTGCTATCCATATGTGTTGTGTCATCTTAATCATGTGCACATGTAAGCAACTGTAGGCTGAGACCAGACACCAAACTTTAGAGAATGCTTATACATGGTAAATATATAGAAGAAAGAACTGAGAGCCTCTTGAATATGTGAGCTCTGTTGTTCATGTGTATTTGTGGCTGCTGATGGCCCTTGGGGGCTTAATTTCTGCTGTTCAACATCGATGTTGTGATAGCTCAATTCTAGATATTACTTTCCCTATATTCTTGAAACACGTTCAAACCACCATGAATATCTCAATTTTATAGGCTTAAAACCTAGCCTCATGGGTTTTTAATAACATTATTGAATATTTACAATGTTCTAAGCACTCTAGTAAATACCCTGTATATATTCAGCAGTACAATGAGGCAGGAATATTATTGTTTCTACTTTATAGGAGAGGAAACTGAGGCTTTACAGAGGTTAAATAGTTTGCCCAGAATGATGCATTGTGGTGAAATCTGGATCTGTCTACTCTAGAACTTGACCTTTACACATTTTTTAAATTATAGTTTACATTCAGTATTATTTTGTATTAGGTCCAGGTGTACAGCATAGTGATTAGACAACCATATACTTTACAAAGTGTTCCCCCTGATATTTCTAGTGCCCGTCTGGCACCATACATGGTTATTACAATATTATTGACTATATTTCCTATGCTGTACTTTACATCCCCGTGGCTTGTCTAACTACCGATCTGTACTTCACAATCCCTTTACCTTTTTCACCCAGCCCCTCTCCCCTCTGGCAACCATCAGTCTGTTCTCTGTTCTATGAGCTGTTTCTGTTTTGTTGGTTTGTGTTGTTCTTTAGATTCCACATGTAAGTGAAATCATATTTGTCTTTCTCTGACTGACTTATTTCACTTAGCATAGTACTCTCTAGGTTCTCTCTGTTTTTTTCTTAATGAATCTGGTTAAAGATTTATCAATCTTGTTTATCTTTTCAAAGAACCAGCTCTTGGTTTCATTGAATGTTGTTTTTTAGATGCTTTTTTGTTTATTTACACTCTGATCTTTTTAAAAATATATTTTTATTTCAAAGAGGAAGGGAGAGGGAGAGAGAGATGGAAATAATCAATGATGACAGAGAATCATTGATCGGCTGCCTCCTGCAGGCCTCACACTGGGGATCGAGCCTCAACCCAGGCATGTGCCCTTACTGAGAATCGAACCATGATCTCTTAGTTTATAGTTCGATGCTCAACCACTGAGCCACGCCAGCCAGGCTACACTCTGATCTTTATTATTTCTTCTATTCACTTTGGGCTTTGTTTGTTGTTCTTTTTCTAATTCCTTTAGGTATGAGATTAGGTTATTTATTTGAGATTTTTCTTGTTTCTTAAGGCAGGCCTGTAATACTATGAATTTCCCTCTGCTTTCACTGTGTCCCATAGATTTGGGATTGTTGTGTTCCCATTTTCATTTGTATCTGATTTCTTCTTTTATCTTCTTGATCTCCTTGTTAACCCATTCATTTAATAACATAGTATTTAGCCTCCATGACTGTGTGTTTTTAATTTTTTTTCTTGTAATTGATTTACAGTTTCATATCATTTGGTCAGAGAAGATCCTTGATATGATTTCAATCTTCTTAAATTTATTGATACTTGATTTGTGTCCCAACATGTGGTCTATCCTAGAAAATGTTCCATGTGCACTTGAAAAGAATGTATATTCTGCTGCTTTGGGGTGAAATGCTCTGAAAATATCAATTAAATCCATCTGATCTAGAGTGTCATTTAAGGCTGCCATTTTCTTGTTGATTTTCTGTATGGAAGATCTAGCCATTGATGTCAATGGGTATTAAAATCCCCTACTATCACGGTGTTAGTGTCAGTCTGTCCCTTTAAGTCCATCAAGATTTGCTTTATATGTTTAGGTGTTCCTATGTTGAGTTCATAAATATTTACAAGGGTTATATACTCTTGTTGGATTGCTCCCCTTATCATTATGTAGTGCCTTTGTCTCTTATTAGAGCCTTTGTTTTAAAGTCTATTTTGTCTGATAAAGGTATTTTCATTTCCATTTGCATGAAATATCTTTTCATCCTTTTACTTTAGTATGTGTATATCTTTCATTCTGAGGTGCATCTTTTGTAGACAGCATCTATATATGGATCTTGTTTTCTTTATCCATTCAGATATCATATGTCTTTTGATTAAAGCATTTAATCCATTTACATTTGAAGTGATTATTAATAGGTACATATTTATTGCCATTTTATTCTTTCTAACTATGTACCTCTTTTTTTAAATGTCTTCTTCTTAAAGAAGACCCTTTAATATTTCTTATAATACTGGTTTGGTGATAATGAACTCCTTTAATTTCTTTTCTGTGATGCTCTTTATTTCTCCTTCAATTTTAAATGATAGCCTTGCTGGGTAAAGTAGCCTTGGTTGTAGGTCCTTGTTTTTTTATCATTTTGAATAATTGGTGCCAATCACTTCTGGCCTGAAATATTTCTGTTGAGGAATGAGCTGACAATCTTATGGGAGCTCCTTTTTAGATAACTTTTTCTCTTGCTACCTTTAAGATTACCTCTTGGTCTTTAACCTTTGGCATTTTAGTTAGGATGTGTCTTGGTGTGAGTCTCTTTGAGTTCATCTAGTTTGAGACTCTCTGCACTCCCTGGACCTGTGTATCTATGTTTAACTGCTTTTGTTCACATAATTTCTTTGATATTTTACTCTAATATAATGGGAGTTAAAGTATATAAACATGTACCAACTAACATGTCAATAATCACATTCTGACAATTCTGGTTATGACAGCTGGAACCCATGTCTCACCAATATTCTTTCAAATCGTCCACGTTTCTCTTTTCAAATGTTTGTTTTAGAATCTATCATCTAAAGAAAAACTGAAATACCAGCAGCAGCAAGAAGAAGTACAACAACTTCGCCAGAATTTGCACCGGCTCCAGATTCTCTGCAGCTCAGCTGAAAAAGAGCTCCGATATGAGCGGGGAAAGAACTTGGACCTAAAGCAACATAATAGCTTACTTCAGGAAGAAAGCATTAAGGTAGCTCTAATGGGCACATCCTTTAGTGACGGGTCTCAATTACTCAATTGGCCCAGGGGAAAAAAGAATCAAAATTTCTCAACTTGATAATTCATGATAGTGTCCATAGATGGTGGACAATATGAGCTCTCAGGTTATCGTTTTTAACTTTTCCCTACCAAGTAGGTACACAGCTCAGTTGTTTCTCTGCTTCTGAAGGTGTGTGTATGTTGTCAATCTGTAAATATGAAAAGTTTTAAAGTAACACAATCTTTTGAAATTATTACCTAAAATTGTAGCACTTACTAATTGCAATGACCTGAGCCTAAACCCTGGTTGTCCTGCCCTAGTTCTATCTCTAGGCTTATTTATCTCTAATAAATAAGATATTGGTTGACTCAAATATCAGCTGTACCAAGGTATAATTCATAGGAGGGCAGAGTTGTTCTTCCTGACACAAGAGCATCTAAAGTTAGAGACCATCCCCAAGCATGCTTGTTTGAAAATATTAGAACTGCCATCACATATTCATCTAAATTGTATAAACCACATAAGTGTTCAATTTGAACCACCATGTAAAATAGTCATACTTCCTTTTTATTATGGTTCAATTCTGTAAACATGCTTGTTTGAAAATATTAGAACTGCCATCCACATATTCATCTAAATTGTATAAACCACATAAATGTTCAGTTTGAACCACCATGTAAAGTAGTCATACTTCCTTTTTATTATGGTTCAATTCTGTAAATATATAGGTATCTAGTTTCTGTGAGCTCCTAGCTAAGATTTTTGTTTTCAGTAAATATCTATTGAACATCAGTCCTACACTGGGTAGGATCTTGTTGATATGAGGGTTTAATGATAGGCAAACAGACACAGTCCTTATCCCCTGGTGCAGGGGTCAGCAAACTTTGGCCATTGGGTCAAATCCTACCTGCCTTCTGTTTTTGTAAATAAAAATTTATTTACAAAACAACCATATCTGTTTGTTTACATGTTATCAATGGCTTCTTCTGTACTACAATAGCAGATTTTAGTAGTTCTGATAAGATTACAGTATTTACTATCTGGCAGTCCTTAGTAGGAAAAATTTGCCCACCCCTGGTGTTGTAGGATAAAAGCCCAGCTGGTGTGGCTCAGCGATTGAGTGTCAACCTATGAACCAGGAGATCGTGGTTAGATTCCCTGTCAGGGTATATGCCCAGGTTGCGGGCTTGATCCCCAGTGTGGGGTGTGCAGGATGCAACTGGTCAATGATTCTCTCTCATTATTGATGTTTCTCTATCTCTCTCCCTCTCCCTTCCTCTCTGAAATCAATTTTTTAAAAAGTGACATAAAGATAGATTAAGAAAGATCCATACTTTTTAGGGGCTCACAGTCTAGTAGGGCAGATGTAGAGGAAAACGAATAGTCATTTATTCTAAACTTCAAGGGAAGCTCTTCTAGGTGTTCTGGTATTTCAGGGTTATTTGAATAAACCTCATGATATTTTGAATATTGGTCATATTCCCTCAAGCCTTTATAGTTTTAAATTAAATTCAAAATCTTCATCACATTTCCTTGTAAGATAGCCTTTTAACTTTCCCTTCAACCACATTTCTTAGACCATTTTAATTGTCCAGCTTTAAACATATTCAAGCACTACTATGTACATCTTTTTCAAGGTGCAATGACCAGAAAAACACAGATCATGATGCTTTATATATGGTTGGCACCCTATAAATATTTTTTGAATTAATGAACAAGTTTTTCAGGTGTAGGTAAATGATAGTTTGGTAAAAGGAGAAGATATTTTTTGTCCTGTTTCAAATCTCCTTCATGGTGGGGTAAAATATTGGCCTTTTCAGTAATGAGATATCAGTCTTTGTCCTGGTGCCCTAGGCCAGGTACTTATACAGAGTACACAATAGCCAACTACCTTTTATTGACAGTTTGTTCGCTTTGTCCCTTATAAATTTCCCACAACCCTGAAAGGCCAGCATTTTATGGATGGGAAAACTGTTCAAGATTGAAAAGCTAACAAATTATGGAATCAGAATGTAAACCCATGTTTAGTTCTCTCTTTCCTCTATCGAGTTATCATTCCTCTCTTCATTTTGAGGTCATTTTGAAACCTCAGCTTTGCAAATGTAGAGCTCACTTTTTAAAATCTACTCAGAGATGTTCAAACTCTGTGTCTGCCTAAGTTAAGCATATGTATGAGACTGATTTAAAAAGCATAATACACGCAGTCCTCGGGTTACGTCGGACTCGACGTATGTCGTTTCATTGTTACGTCGCCATCTCCCATTTACTGTATTTATATTTTAAAAAGTTCTGTCATTTTGACGTATGTACATATGTGCTTTATGTTTTTTATTGTTTATTTACCACAAGTAAAGGTCAGGAATTGTTATCTTTCTTTTAAATTTTTTTTTTTAATGATAGGCAAACAGACACAGTCCTTATCCCCTGGTGCAGGGGTCAGCAAACTTTGGCCATTGGGTCAAATCCTACCTGCCTTCTGTTTTTGTAAATAAAAGTTTATTTACAAAACAACCATATCTGTTTGTTTACATGTTATCAATGGATTCTTCTGTACTACAATAGCAGATTTTAGTAGTTCTGATAAGATTACAGTATTTACTATCTGGCAGTCCTTAGTAGGAAAAATTTGCCCACCCCTGGTGTTGTAGGATAAAAGCCCGGCTGGCGTGGCTCAGTGATTGAGTGTCAGCCTATGAACCAGGAGATCGTGGTTAGATTCCCTGTCAGTGCATATGCCCAGGTTGTGGGCCTGATCCCCAGTGTGGGGTGTGCAGGATGCAACTGGTCAATAATTCTCTCTCATTATTGATGTTTCTCTATCTCTCTCCCTCTCCCTTCCTCTCTGAAATCAATTTTTTAAAAAGTGACATAAAGATAGATTAAGAAAGATCCATACTTTTTAGGGGCTCACAGTCTAGTAGGGCAGATGTAGAGGAAAACGAATAGTCATTTATTCTAAACTTCAAGGGAAGCTCTTCTAGGAGTTCTGGTATTTCAGGGTTATTTGAATAAACCTCATGATCTTTTGAATATTGGTCACATTCCCTCAAGCCTTTATAGTTTTATATATATTTACATATATATTATATAGTTTTAAATTAAATTCAAAATCTTCATCACATTTCCTTGTAAGATAGCCTTTTAACTTTCCCTTCAACCACATTTCTTAGACCATTTTAATTGTCCAGCTTTAAACATATTCAAGCACTACTATGTACATCTTTTTCAAGGTGCAATGACCAGAAAAACACAGATCATGATGCTTTATATATGGTTGGCACCCTATAAATATTTTTTGAATTAATGAACAAGTTTTTCAGGTGTAGGTAAATGATAGTTTGGTAAAAGGAGAAGATATTTTTTGTCCTGTTTCAAATCTCCTTCATGGTGGGGTAAAATATTGGCCTTTTCAGTAATGAGATATCAGTCTTTGTCCTGGTGCCCTAGGCCAGGTACTTATACAGAGTACACAATAGCCAACTACCTTTTATTGACAGTTTGTTCGCTTTGTCCCTTATAAATTTCCCACAACCCTGAAAGGGGTGGGGTGAAATATTGGCCTTTTCAGTAATGAGATATCAGTCTTTTTGTCCTGGTGCCCTAGGCCAGGTACCTATGCAGAGTACACAATAGCTAACTACCTTTTATTGACAGTTTGTCTGCTTTGTCCCTTATAAATTTCCCACAACCCTGAAAGGCCAGCATTTTATGGATGGGAAAACTGTTCAAGATTGAAAAGCTAACAAATTATGGAATCAGAATGTAAACCCATGTTTAGTTCTCTCTTTCCTCTATCGAGTTATCATTCCTCTCTTCATTTTGAGGTCATTTTGAAACCTCAACTTTGAAAATTTAGAGCTCACTTTTTAAAATCTACTCAGAGATGTTCAAACTCTGTGTTTGGCTAAGTTAAGCACATGTATGAGACTGATTTGAAAAGCATAATACAGGCAGTCCTCGGGTTACGTCGACATCTCCCATTTACTGTATTTATATTTTAAAAAGTTCCGTCATTTTGACGTATGTACATATGTGCTGCCTAAGTTAAGCATATGTATGAGACTGATTTAAAAAGCATAATACACGCAGTCCTCGGGTTACGTCGGACTCGACGTATGTCGTTTCATTGTTACGTCGCCATCTCCCATTTACTGTATTTATATTTTAAAAAGTTCTGTCATTTTGACGTATGTACATATGTGCTTTATGTTTTTTATTGTTTATTTACCACAAGTAAAGGTCAGGAATTGTTATCTTTCTTTTAAATTTTTTTTTTGCTGTTTCACTTCATTAACTGCTATGTATGTGCTCCATATGAGTGACGTAGGTGCTTATGTAGGGGAGTTCCGACTTACGGCGAAAATCACATTATGTCGCCCTAGGAATGGATCTCTGATGTAACCCGAGGATCTACTGTACTTGTTAATTGCTTTTAAACCATTTTATTGTGAAATATAGCACTCAGAAAGTACATAAAACATAAATATATAGTTTAATAAATTGTTGTAAAGTGATTATCCATGTAACCACCACCCAGGAAAAGAAATAGCACATTGCCCGTGTGCCAGCAGCCCCTGAATGCTTCTTGTATTAACTTTGGCACATCTTATTTTTCTAAAAAAATTTCTTTTTCATTTAAATTGAAAATTTTTTATATAAACTTATTCATAAAAATTTTAAAAATAGCAATGGTCCTTTTTAATTTCATGATACTAGTTACTTTTCTTTTTCATTTAAATTGAAAAATTTTATATAAACTTATAAAATTTTTAAATATAGCAATGGTCCTTTTTAATTTCATGATACTAGTTACCCTTTGTTGCTTTTCTCTTAATCAGTTTCACTAGTTTATCCATTTTATTAGACTTTTCAAGAACTAGCTTTGTTGATAAATAAAAAATACAGGCATTTCACCTGGCTGGTGGGGCTCAGTGGTTGAGTGTTGACCTAGGAATCAGGAGGTCACAGTTTGATTCCCGGTTGGGGCACATGCCCAGGTTGTGGACTTGATCCCCAGTTTGGGTAGTACAGGAGGCAGCCAATTGATGATTCTCTCTCATCATTGAGGTTTCTCTCTCACTCCCTCTCCCTTCCTCTCTGAAATCAATAAAAATATTTTTTAAAAATACAGGCATTTCACAATTTTAAGGCAGTTTAGTATTAAATACTGGGCTAGAATCAGAAATCTGTATTCAGACCATGGTTCTATCATTTGCCAACTATATTCGAGACTTCGTTTTTTCATTTAAAATGGGGTAAAGTACGAATCTCAACTACTTCATTGATATGAAAGCCTAACCAACATACAGTAGGTATAGTAGTATCTGCCTCAGTTCTGTACTTCAAATACAGTAGATATTCTGTAAGTGATTCTTTTTTTATTTATTTAAATTCTTTATTGTTTAAAGTATTAACATACGTCTCCTTGTAAGTGATTCTTGAAGAACAACAGCTAACTTGTATTAGGTATTACATATGTGGCTATTTCTATTCTTGATGCTTTCATTGCTTTATTTTAGTAAGTGTAGCTTTCCAACTGTCCTATGAGTTAAGTAGTTATCTCCATATTACAGATGAAGAAACATGCTTAGAGAGGTTAAACATTATTAACTTTTAATTCATTTGATAAAATCTGAATGGTTAATATGCAGAAGTTACAAGTGGAGGAAACTACAGTTATAATCCCTATTAATTAGTTGAAAAGCTTTGAGCCCAGGAAATTCTGTTTTACATAAAGTGAAGTAAGTTCTAGCTCAGCATTTTTGTCTGTGAGTCCTACCTACTACGTCCATTTACCAGGTTCTAATATTCCTTAGAATGTCATTCATTCATTTATTTATTCAGTAAATATTAATTAATCACCTACTTTAGGCACATTGATAGGTGTTGGATACTAAGAAATGAATAAAACACATGGGAATTTAGAGTGAGGAAGAAGGATGTGAAAGAGTAGATAAATACATGTTTAATTATAAATGGTGATAAGTTCTCTGAAGGAAATAAATGTGGTATAATAAGTGAGTAAGTAAGTAAGGAGACCTCTTCAGATTAAATGATCATGGAGGTTTTCTCTTACAGAGTGCCTTTTAAGCTAAAGTAAGTAAGTAAGTAAGTAAGGAGACCTCTTCATGGAGGTTTTCTCTTACAGAGTGCCTTTTAAGCTAAGACCTGAGAAATAGACAGGAACCAACCGTACCATGAGGAGAGGGGGAAGGGAATACATTTCTAGCAGAGGGAAGAGTGGAGTCTGGTGTGCTGGAGACTCTAAGTAGAAACCAGCAGGACAGGAGGTCAGTGGAAGAAGGGGGAATGACAGGATGGTTTTAAAGAAGTTGGCAAGGGCTGGGTCACACAAGGCCAGGCAAACTGCTGGGGTTTGTTCCCGGAGTGATGCGAAGCCACTGAAATATTTAAGGAGGGGTGTCAAGTGGTTCAATTTATGTTCTAAAAAGAACACTTTGGCTGCTGTGCAGATTAGAAGGGAGTAAACATGGAAATGGCAGGACCGGGGTTGAGGCTCTTGCTATGGTCAGGGCTAGAGATGATGATCTAGACTAGAGTCGTGACACAAACGACTCAAATGGATTGATGCAAGATCTGTTGTGGAGGCAGAGTGACAGCTTGCGCTGAATTGGCTCATAATGGAAAAGGAAGACTCAAGAATAACTCTCAGGTTACTGGCCTGCACAGGGTAGATGGTGACATCATTGACTATAGTCAGGAAGACTGAGAGAAAAGCCATCTTGGAAATGTGAGCAGATCAAGGAATTCCACTTAGGCAGTTACTTGGCATAAAGGTGGTGTTTTATTTTAAATCATGAGGATGAACCAAGAGAGAGTGATCCACTCTCAAGGCCCAGTTTAATCCAATAGCATTTAGAAGTTGGGTGGCACTAGAACAGACAACAAAAGAGACCAATAAGGAACAGAAGAGAGGTAAGTGGAAATCATGGGAGTTTGGTGTCACTGACTCCAAGAGAGGAGGGGAACTTTCTGAGAGGGAAGGAGGGGATGCCACTGAGAGGTCAACTGTCCATTGGCTCTACTTTGGCAATAGTGCCCTTAGCAAAAGCAGCTTCCCGGAGTAGTGGGAATGAAAGCCACCCTGGAGTGATAGAAAAAAGGATGGAAAAGTATTTAGACCATGCATGTATCGACACTCTTAGGAAAATCCCTTTGTCCAGCTGCCATCTGGAGAGATAGACCTTGGCAAACCTTACTGACACGTGGCAGCTCCAGAGAGGAAATCAGCCACATGACATTGGTGTTCGTCAGCTCTTGGGGGACAGCATTCCTTTGAAAGCTGCTTATTCTGGCTCACGTTCACAATCACTCCATGCTTATTCCCTTCGCTGTTATTTATTCCCCACCTCTAGCTCAAAATTGAACTCAAGCAGGCCCAGCAGAAGTTATCAGACAGCGCAAGGCTGTGCTCTCCACCCCCAGCAGAGTGGAAGCACTGTCAGCAGAAAATCAAGGAGCTGGAGCTGGAAGTACTGACACAGGCTGAGAGCATTAAATCACAGAACACCCTGAAAGAAAAGCTGGCTCAGGAGAAATCCAAAGTTGCTGACGCAGAGGAAAAGGTAATTATCCTCACACGTAGTAAGTAACATGCGCTGGATACTACTACTGAAATCCGTTTCCCTAAGGACTGTAAGAAATAGATACGGTGCAAACTTGATAGAATTCTAGGGTTTTTCTTTACTCCCTCACGCTTTCCTCCCTTCAACTTCATCTGCTCCTATAATTCCAGTAAATTTTGTGTATTTTTTCAAAACTGCATAAACCTATAAAGGTGTTTCTTAAAGCAATAACTTAAAGAGCCGAGACCCAATGACTTTCCTTTTACACATGCAAATTTTAAAAGCCTAGTCTCTTCTCATTTGGATTGGTGTTTACATGATTTTTATTTTGTAATTTCTGGAATGATTTGTGTTGTGAAATGAGCCATTTTGGAATGTTGCCCCTGCATTTTAGACTGCCTAACGCCAGGTGGCAGTAGGAGGTAACAGGTGCACATTTTGATCTGTAAGTTTGTCTGAGTCAAATTTTATATTTTAAAAAATGTCATTTTATCTAACTCTATTAATATAAAACTAATACCAAGAAGTAGATGACAGCAATCTGAATTAAACTCAAAAGCCTAATGCTCCCTAAAGAAGCCAGCACAAAGGAGTTCATACGGTGTAATTTCATTTATATGAGGTTCCAGAACAGAGAAACTAAGCTATGGTGATAGATTAATGGCTGTCTCTGTAAGGCCTTTTATCTGGGCAGGGACGTGCGGGAATCTTCTGTGGTGCTTACAAGTATTCTATATGTTGGCCTGAGAGGTGGTCCTATAAGTAAAAGTGTATTGCATTTACACTTAACTGCATGTGTTATTGCTCCATAAAAAAGTAATTGATAAAGATTGGTAAAATTTAAAATTTAGACACTACTAAATATTGGTGAGGGTTTTGTGCAGTAGGAGCTCATACTGACTACGGTTGGAAGAGTAAATCCAAATAAACACTTTGGAAAACAGTTTAATGGTGGTTTCTAGTTAAGTTGAAGATGTATATACTATACAACCCCACACTTCTACTACTAGGCATAAACACTAGAGAAGCTATTATACGGCACATATGTATCCGAAGGCAGGAATTCAGCCATTTTCATGTAACAAAAGCAGAAAATTGGAAACAACCCAAATGCCCACTGATAAGAGATTGAATAAATAAATTATATATTTACACAACAGCATGCAACAGCAAAACTGAATTAATTACAGGTACATGCTGAGTTCAATGTAATATTGAATAAAAACCAGGTCAGGAAAATCACAGTATGATTCCACTGATAGAAAGGTCAAAATAGTACAAAATGAAAGCCATGTCACATAGAGAGATATATTGTTAAAAGAAAAAACAAAGAAATGATTGACACAAAAGTCAAGATATTGGTTTTCTCAGGTGGAGCAGGAAGGAATATAATTAATGAGGGTCACAGAATGGACTTCAGAAGTTTTGGAAATGTTCTTTCTTAAATTGGGTGGCGAGTTCAAAAGTTTGGCATCTGTCCTTGACAGAGAAGCCAGTGGGGTGATACTTTCTTCTGTGGAATTAAGACTGAATATCTTTAAGTTAGTATTCCCCCTGAGCACAGAACTAAATGGGGCAGTTCAAAGGAACTAGACCTGGCCTCTGCCATTGCCCTGAATCATTCTGCTTCTTCACCTCTCCTGTGGTGTATGGGTTTTGCAAAGGGCTTAGGGCCAGGGCTTAGGCTGATGCAGAAAGATCTTCTCTTAGAAAAGGTCTGCCATACACTGGCATTCACTGAATGTTTGTGGGGAATGTGGTGTCAAACTATTGTAAGGGACTCATTGTTGGGTCAGGAATACAATAGAGGGAGAACAGCTATTCTACTGAAATCTAGTCATTCAGCAAATATTTATTGAATACTTACTATGTACCAGTTACAAATGTAGGTGACACAAAGGCTTATCAAAATAAATAAACAAGTCTTGCCAGGCCGGTGTGACTCAGTGGTTGAGTGTCGACCCAGGAACCAAGAGGTCGCCAGTTTGATTCCCAGTCAGGATACATCCCCAGGTTGCAGCTCAATCCCCAGTAGAGGATATGCAGAAGGCAGCCCATCAAGCACATCCCCGGGTTGCAGCTCAATCCCCAGTAGAGGATATGCAAAGGCAGCCCATCAATGATGTCCCCCTCTCTTTGATGTTTCTATCTTTCTATCCCTCTCTCTTCCTCTCTTTCTAAAAATCAATAAAAAAATATTTTTAAAAAAGTAAACAAGTTTAAAAGGATATTTACCTAACAAAAATATTTTATGACACTTTTAATCTAACATGTAAATTCTAAAATAAAATTATATATCTCTCTTTCACATTATAAATCTTATTTTTAGAATGACCAGGGTATTAAAGAACCTATTACTGGTGCTAGGCAATATGCTAATTGATACTTGCTTTGTAAGAGACTTTGACTTTGTTTTGAGATATTATTCATGAATGTAGCCACACTGTGAAAAACCAGACACTCTCACACATTGCTGTTAGAAGTGTAAACTGGAAACAATTAAAAAAAAAAAAAAAGAAGTGTAAACTGGTCTAATACCTATAGGGACAGTTTGGCCTTATCTATCAAACAAACAAATAATAACCTTTGCCCTGGCAAATCCACACCTCATAAATTATTCCAGAGACATTGTTTATAGTAGCAAGAGATTGGAATTAACCTAAATGTCCACCAGTAGGAGGTTAATTAAATAAGTTATGGTATATTCTTACAGTGGGGTGGTATATGGCTATAAAAGAGAGCACACATATATATTCAGGATTGGGCAAAAGTAAGTTTATAGTTGTGAGTATGCAGTGCACAAAGTTTATTCTTATATTATTATTTATTCATTATTCTTTTCCATACAAAGAATTATAAACCTATTTATGTCACATGCTATACTTATAATATGGAAAAATCACTGAGTGATCAGATTGTGTGCCAGTACTATTGTGTTTGTTATTTATATCATATTTCCCTAATTGGAAAATAGGTCACATTTTTCTTTAAAGTTTTATTTATAAACTTTTTTCTTTCAAGATTTTGGATCTACAGCAGAAATTAGAACAGGCTCATAAAGTCTGTCTCACAGATGCTTGTATTTTGGAAAAGAAGAACCTAGAGGAAAGGATAACAGAAGAACAACAAAAGAGGTAAGAGGAGCAAAGATGTCAGCTTCTCATGGGCTAATCTTGGTTGAGTTTACCAGCAGTGTCTACTCACCAATGTTTCTTCTGTTCCCCCACTGAAATAAACTCACACTCTTATATATCGCACTTACCACCTTGTATACTAATACTAATAATTTCTTTCCTTGTTTGCCTTTCACACTAGAGTATAAGATTCTTTTTTTTTTTTTAAAGAATTTTACTGGCCAGAACCGGTTTGGCTCAGTGGATAGAGCGTCGGCCTGCGGACTCAAGGGTCCCGGGTTCGATTCCGGTCAAGGGCATGTACCTTGGTTGCGGGCACGTCCCCAGTGGGGGGCGTGCAGGAGGCAGCTGATCAATGTTTCTCTCTCATTGATGTTTCCGGCTCTCTATCTCTCTCCCTTCCTCTCTGTAAAAAATCAATAAAATATATTTAAAAAAAAAAAAAAAGAATTTTACTGATTTTTAGAGGGAGGGAGAGAGAGAAACATTGCTGTGTGAGAGCAAAACATCAATCAGCTGCCTCCTGCAAGCCCCTACCAGGGATTGAGCCCACAACCCAGGCATATGTCCCAACTGGAAATCGAACCGCAACCTTTCAGTGCAAGGGACAACAGCCAACCAACCAACCAACTAACCAACCAACACACCAGCCAGGCAAATGTGGGATTCTTAAGGCAGGGATTCTTTCTTGTTGTTCAGGAACACACTCGGTGCACCAGTATATTTTCTTGAATGACTGAATTGCCTAGGAAATAGCATACTCTGGGATTTGCTTTTCTAATTCTAACATGATTAGCACAAAATGCAGACTAGAATGAAGCTGGTGTTTTGTATTTATGAGCTGATTTTCTTCAAAGAAGTTCCAAGTACGTTACAAGCATCTTAATCATCAACAAGTTGCTACCAGATATGAGCTGTCATATTTTTTTCTAAAATTATTAGATTATTAGGATCTCACTTAAATTACCTTAGATGCCCTAAACTCCAGTAATTGATGCTTCCTACTTCTGTAGCACTCAGTGTGATTTACATATATTTTAAGAAAAATATTATTTTAGACAGTGAAAAGATATACAGACATCCACGTATACTATGAAGCTCAGAAACCTACTTTCACCTCCAATTAAAAGCTCTAGCGCAGGGCTTGACATTCAATAGGTATTCAGTAAATATTTAGTGAACAAAAAAATGTTTGAGTAAGTGAATGAATGAATGAAGGTGAAGATGAATAATGAATTCACTCCGTGAGGTATAGTAGAAAAATAGTTGTCCGACTGTCACTTCTAGCAGGATGACAGGCTATCCTCCTGTTATAATACAACTAAATTCTGAATAAACTACAATAAGAATGCCTTTTTAAGCATCACTCACAAAGCAAGAGAAAGCCTGAAAGGCAAACATACAATGAGGTAAAACAAAAATGATGAATGGTAAAAAAACAAACACAAAACTCCTACCTCATAGGATCATTGTGTAAATTAAATGAGTTATAAACAGTTGGCTTGTATCAGTGTCTAGCGCATAGTAAGCACTTGTATCAGTCAGGGTTCAATTGGAGAAGTAGAACTGTTAGTGGTAATATTGGCCCTCAGTTCTTGACTTCATGCAGGAAAGATTCACAACACAAGTCCAGATGATTTTGAGAGTTTAAAGCTAGGGACAGTGAAACAGAGGAAGTAGCTTAAGATAAAAGAGGCAAGATCATAGCAACAGGAATGAGCCTGGGTGAGTGTGCCTTGACCCTTTGGAAGGAAAGTTCACAGAGGCAGAAGAAGTGAGCTACAAGAGCACATATTCCAACTTTCCAAGAGTAAAAAACAAAATGCTTCTATTCTGCCCTCCAAATCTTCTACAAAATATGTCTTGTAGCCTACTCTAACCAGAAACATGCATGGACAGAATTCCTAGCCAAGTTGACACATTAGGAAGACTCTACTAAAAAGTGTTGTTGTTGTTGCATTATTTGATGTAATTATTACTGTTATCGTCATCATCACCATCATCATCAGTGAAGTGAGAAATGTTCGTTTTGGCTAAAACGAAATGTTTGGGGATTAGGAGAGTGACAAGTAAATGAAGCTAGAAGGGTAAGCTAGGCCTGGTCGTGATGAGCCTAACTGGCCACATTGAGTTTGGACATGTTCATGGGAGATAATGGTCTGCAGTTTTCCTATTTGAAATATCCTTATCTGGTTTTGGTATTCGTATAATGCTGCCTATTAGAATTAGTTAGAAAGTATCCCCTCTTCAATTTTTCTGGAAGAGATTATAGATAATTGGTATCATTTTGAAACCGTACAGCCAATGGTTCCGGGCTGCCTTTCATTACTTGAGCCAATTAAGCAGAGACAGGGTTGAATCATGTGTGTGTGTTTATGCCAATAATGGGAGAGCAGCAGGTCATCCACAAAAATCTGCTCTGCACTCCCTCCCCCCATACGCCAGTTGTTATATGGAGTAGCAGGACAACGATTACATGGGAAAGTAGGCAGAAGGAATAAGAATGGGTATGCAAATTAAAGATGGGCAAGCAGGGATGGGGAAGTAGGGAAAAGGAATAAAATTGGCTGTAATGGTTACAGGTTACAGGCAATGCCTGCTGGAGGTTTGCAAAGGATAGTGCCTCCAGTCTCGCCTGGCAACAAGGTTGTTAATCTTTCCATGATAATAGGCAGCTCTCTGATGAGGAAGATGGGCCGCATTTCCAGGTTAGCTCCAAGGTCCAGGGGACTTACCATTCCCAGCCAGGATAGAATGTGCTTTCTTTAATCAGAACAAACCAATCACGATTAACAGAGCATAATTAATATTTCTTATAACTATAGCTAGTTTCCACTATTCTATTTCTCCCTCCCATCCCTAACAGTTGTTAATGTAAGAAATACATTATCCAAACCTGTAAAGAATTTTTGTGAGTTTATTTGAGCCAAACTGTCAACTATTTCCAGGAAGCAGAATCTCAACACATTGAGACAATACAATGCTCCAGGGAATGGTGGTTTTTCACCTATTTTTATAAATTACCATCAAAGAAGGAGAAAGTGGGTTACATGAAATCCATTGGTGATAGATTAGGGAGGTGGGAGAAAGTAACGGGGAGGAAGTTACTTCTGGGATTGGATAAAAAGTAAAATGATAGACACATGCTTCTTTTACCTAGGTGAGCATAGGATAGTTAACAGTTAACAATTAACACATAACAATTAACACAAATAGCAATAACAATGAGGGAATTTGTGGCCCTTGGCGCATTGGTTGTGCCCTGAGGGGTCCGGAAAAAAGGGAAATTACAAGTTACCCCAACATTCCAAAGGCATGTTATCTAGATGCAAAAAGACAATAGGCTCAATTAAGATCAAAGTTGATCTTTGTGGAGGATGATACAAGCCTTGGACATGAACTACCCACCAAAGACTGTTTGTTTTTTAAATTGATTTCAGAGGGGAAAGGAAAGGGAGACAGAGAAAGAAACAATGATGAGAGAGAATCATTGATTGGCTGCCCCCTGCATACTTCTACTGAGGATTGAGCCTGCAACCTAGGCATGTGACCCTGACCAGGAATCAAACCATGATCTCCTAGTTTATAGGTTGATGGTCAACCACTGAGCCACGCCAGCCAGGCTGCTCTTTAATTAAAAAGTTTTAATTTCATGCCCGGCTGATGTGGCTCAGTGGTTGAACGTCTACCTATGAACCAGGAGGTCATGGTTTGATTCCTGGTCAGGGCCTATGCCTGGGTTGCAGGCTCAATCCACAGTAGGGGCATACAGGAGGCAGCCGATTAATGATTCTCTCTCATCATTGATATTTCTCTCTCTCCCTCTCCCTTCCCCTCTGAAGTCAATAAAAATAGCTTTTTTTTTCTTTTTTTTTAGTTTTAATTTCAGACCATTCTTTGTGGTTACTTTAGGCCTCTGAGTTTACAAGGCCACCTGCAGGCCTTTCCTGAGCTTGTCAGGTTAGCATGTGGCCCCATTTAGTCCACATTTGTTATTAAATTTGTGGGCATAGAATTGTTCATAATATTCCCTTACTGTCTTTTTTTTTTTTAAGTAACAAATGCAGTTTTAATAGATCTATAGATAAAAACTACTCTGCAAGGTGAGTAACCATTTCTGCTCCTCAATCTGTTAGAGCCATATCCTGGTCAGTGTTCAGGAAGAAGGTAATTTCATTATTTCACTTCATCCGTGGTATTAGAAAACCAAGGCATGATTATCAGTTTAGATGACATGCGTAGCTGGCAGCCAAACCCAGTCCCTATAGTCCATATTTTTTCTTTAGTTCTCCTACTTTGTTGATGTACGCTTTCATGGCATCTTCCTTGGATGTCCCTTTCAGCTCACTCCAGGCATCCCACTTGGCCTTGGGTCCAACATCCCAGGCCGTTCTGTATTTGTCACCCACAGTTGCTTGTTTGTAGCGGTTGTATATGAACAGCATCTCATCGCCTGCTGGCTTGGTCTTGAGATGCTTAACATCCTCAGCAGCTTTGTCAAACTCAGCCTGAGACATACCTGTGGGTGCAAGGACTGCAGGAAGCTGGCGGAGGTGGTGAGGAGCTGGGAGAAGTCCCCTTACTGTCTCTTAATGTCCACAGGATCAATAGTGGAGGGGAGCAGAGTTTGCTACCTCAAAATATGCCTCTTTAGGATATTGAGTATTTTATTTAAGTTGGTTAATTTTAAGAAACAGAAGACAGGGAGAAACCTCTGAAAAACAAGTAGAAGTTACTCTTTGTAAAAGGGCATTTATATTTGTAAGGGTGTTTCCCTCACTATACCATGAAGAGGAGGATATCTCTAGAAATGATCAATGGAGAAGGTGTGGACAATAATATTATGCTCGTTTACTGTGCTTTTCCTGGTAACCTTCCATAACTGACTCCCCACCGCCACCATCTTTTTTTTGTTTGTTTGTTTGTCTTTAGCTGAAGATAAAGGTGAAGGCTTTTGTCATCTTGGCAAGTTCTTCAGTGTTCCTGCAGCTCCCCCTTTTATGCAGGAAGTATATGTTATTAAACTTTAGTTTGTTTTTCTCCTGCTAATCTGTCTCATGTTAATTTAGCTATTAGACCAGCCAGAAGAACCTAGAAGAGTTGGTGGTGAAATGGCACCAGGTATTTGACCAGTGGAGTCAGACCTTCAGTACTTGAGTTCTGGCTAAGAATTCAGAGCCAAGACTGAAACTATAAGAGCAAGTGTATTAGAAAGCTACAGAGATAGAAGAAGTGAGCTGTAGAAGAAATGGGCTCAGGAAACAAGTTACAAAGACAAAAGAAGGGTCCTTGGAGAGAGAAAGGTAACTCGTCTTGGGGGTTAAGGCACCAGCCTGCTCCTGGAGGGAGAGCAGCACTGGGTCCTCTGTCTTAAGGGTATTTATCTGGAGGTCTCAGGGGAGGATCCCAATAGCATATTCATCATCTTTCCAGGTATGTCCTTTCAGGGTGTGGTCTCTACTGCTCGGTCAGTGCCAGGACAGGGGGTCATTAGTCAATGCAGCTGGTCCTGATGTCAGTCATGGTATTGCTTGTCTGGTTTTGCAGCTTTTCTGAGCCTGGAGCTGAACACAACTGAGGCCTAGATGTTATCTCTGGGGTTAAATGCTTAAAGGAGTGGTCATGCAAGGGCCTGCCTGGGAGTTGCACGAAGCCACTCTGCGACGCCTTGTTCCTCCTCCAAGGGGGTCTACCACATGACTATCGACATGCCAGGGGAGGAAAGGTTACACAGGGCAAGATCCTTGTTTTCCCAGTTTTGCCTGTTGCTAGTGACCTGGGGCTTTTTGCCCTGGTGACCTTCTGTACCTGGCCTATCAGTCCTACTCTGCTCCTCTCTGTCTAACTGAAGGGAAGAGAATAATTTTTCTCCCTGACAATAGTGATGATCCCTCTTTCACTTCTGATATTAGTAATTTATGTTTTCTGTTTCTTGGTTAGCCTAGTTAGAGGTTTATCGATATTATTGATCTTTTCAAAGAGCCAGCTTTAGTTTCATGATTTCTCTGTTGTTTTCCTGTTTTTAATGTCATGGTTTTCTGATTTAATTTTTATTGTTTCTTTTATTCTGCTCAATTTAGGCTTATATTGGTCTCTTTCTCTAGTTTCCCTAAGGTGGAAACTTAGATTGTTGATTTTTTTCATCTTTTATAATATTTGCATTTAATGCTATAAATTTCCCTCTAAGCACTATTTTTGATGCACCTCACGAATTTTGTAAGTTGTATTTTCATTTTCATGTCAAATAAGCATAGTTCAAAATATTTTTTAATTTCTTGAGACTTCTTTTTTGACAAATGCATTTTTTTAGAACTGTTTGTTTAATCACTAAATATTTTGGGATTTTCCAGCTATCTTTCTGTTACTGACTTATTTCATACTATCTTTTTAAATATATGTACAGCATCCTGTTACATCTATCATTATTCATGTAAAATGCTTTTTAGACACTTTTGTTTTTATAAATAAGTAGAGGCCTGGGGCATGAAATTCGTGCACAGGAGGAAGGGGGATTGGGATGGGGGAGGGATGTCCCTCAGCCTGGCCTGCACCCTCTTGCAATCCAGGACCCCTCAGGGGATGTCTGACTGCCAGTAAGACATCCCTCTTGCAGACATCCCTTTCACAATCCGGGACCACTGGCTCCTAACTGCTCGCCTGCCTGCCTGCCTGATCACCCCTAACCACCTCTGCCTTGGCCCCCACCGCTGCAGCTTCATCCGGAAGGACATCTGAATGACATCTGGAAGGTCATTTGGCTGTCTGGTCTAATTAGCATATTACGCTTTTATTATTATAGATGGTATTGTTATTGAACAGAAAAAGTGCAGCCACCTGGCACTAGCAGAGCCAAACACTAAACACCAAGAATTGCTGTGGGGAAATATTTGCTAACTTATTATAAGTGGCAACACCCCAGAGAATGGGGAGCTAATGCTTAAAACCCTAAACACTCCAATGGCATGTAGGTTACAGACTATATAGGGCAAATCACAAGACACTGTGGGTTCGGGGTTCGAAACTGTGCAGACAGCTCTGGCATCCCTCTGCCCAGTTTTATGGGAAAGTAGCCAGGGAGTCATTCCACCTTAGGACACAGGAGCTGAAACATAACTTAGGTCAAGATATTATCTTTAGCTTAACAGAAACCCATACCTTGTGACCTTTAGTGAAGGTGTGGCCATTGTTTTTGTTGCCTCAGGGGGTTAATGACTAGTAAGGGGAGAACTAAGGCTTATGGGGCAGGCTGTGAAGAAACTGAATAGAATGCTGGGGCTACATAGTCAACAGAAATCATACGCTAAATCAGGACCCTCGGTTTCACTATAAAGAATACCCTCTACATAAGACTTTGCAACTGCAATGAAATATGTGTTATACAGAGGCGAGTTTATGATACTGTGATAGCAGGTAGCAAGGACAGCAATCTGGCCTAGAGAGCTCAAGAAAGCCTTCCTCTAAGGAAGCTATTAAGCTGAGACTAAAGCAGTTGGCATGGGAAAGCTAAGTAGAGAATATTAGGCAAAGGAAGGCCTGGACGAGGAAGATAGGGAAAAGGTTGGCGTTGCAGAGGAGGAGTAAGTGTGGAGAATGACTTGTTTCATTTTGGGGGATGGGGGAGTTCATTTTGGCTGGCACAAAATGTTTGTGGGTACAGGGAGTGGCACGAAAATGAGGCTAGAAAGGTAAGCTAAAATGAGGCTAGCTAGCAAGCCATATTTAAGAGTTTGAACTTTATCTTAAAAGTAATGGGGAACGCCTGGCCAAGTGGCTTAGTTGGTAGGAGTGCTGTCCCTTGCTCTGAAGGGCCATGGGTTCCATTCCTGGTCCCGGCACATACCCAGGTTACAGGTTTGATCCCATTTTGGGGCACATACAGGAGGCAACCAATCGATGTTTCTCTCTCACATGAATGTTTCTCTCTCTCTCCCTCTCTCTCTCTCTTTCTCTCTCATCAGTGAAAAACATATCCTTGGATAAGGATTTATAAAAACACAATTTTATCTCAAAGAGTTTCATTTGCAAAGCTTTGCAATTCACGGTGTGATTTTAATGTATATTAATTGCCCTCAGGAAACTCCTAGATCAAAATATAAATGAGCTACAACAAAAAGTGAAAATCTTACTAGACAAAGAGAATATGCTAGAAATGACCAGTTCTCAGCAGCAACACAGAATTCAGCAACAAGAGGCCCAACTTAAACAACTGGAAAATGAAAAAAGAAAATCTGATGAGGTAAGAAAGTAAATAGACATGCTTCTCCGTTTTCCAGTTCCCAGAGAGCAGCGGTTTTCAGTCGGTGTGCCACAAAAATTTTTAAACATTCAGTACCTCACTGTTTAGTGAGGGCATTGACTTCTTTTCCGTTAGATTGTCAAATAAAAAAATGACTACAGCCAACATAACAATAGCCATCTGGTATAAATGAATCAAAATTACACTTTTTTTGTGTGTCAGATCAGCAAAAACTATAATATATTTTGTGCCACAGAATTTTAGTAACTAGTGTATATGTTCCATGAGATGAAAAAGGTTGCAGATCGCTGCCATCGAGCAATAGCTAATACTTATGGAGCGCCTAGCACTTTACCCATTCGTTTAGTCAGGGTTCAGCCAGGAAAGCAGAATTTACTGTAGGTATTTTGAGCAAGAAGGGATTTAACACAAGCAATAACATGCTTATAAAACTGTTGGGAGGGAGAGTTAGGGATAAGTAGAAGATCAGAAAGAACTGCTATGGCTAGGCCACCCCAAACTCCTTGTACTTCTCAATTCTGCTTTAACATTCTTTATACCAATCAGGTGGTCTCCCAAAGTACTTCAGGACAGGCAACTATAAACTATAACCTAATTGACCCTTACGTCATGGATATCTAATACTAGTGACAAGATTATACTGCCTTTACATCTAACCTGGTCAGATAACCAATCTTTGAGCTTCCTATATTTGAGGAGCCATTTCTAGAACCAGATACTTTATTAGTCAGGGTTAGCTCAGGAAAACAGCTTTCACTTTATAGACTTCGAGCTGGAAGACTTTTTTTTCCTTCTTTTGTTAATCCTCACCTGAGGATATTTTCCCATTGATTCTTTAGGGCGAGTGGGAGAGGGAAAGTCAGAGGGAAACATCAATGTGAGAGAAACACATTGATTGGTTGCCTCCTGCACGAGACCCGACCAGGGCCCCGGCCAGGAAGGAGCCTTCAACCAAGGTATGTGCCCTTGACCCGAGGCTCTACCCACTGAGCCAAACCGGCTAGGGTGAGCTGGAAGACTTTTTATATAGGTAATTAGATGCTTGTAAAACTATTGGAAAGGCTGGTGGAGCAAAAGTCAAGGCAAAGAGCTGCAGAAAATCTGAAAGAGCAGAAATCACAGGAAGCTACTACAGTTTCAGAAGCTGGAGCCACTATAAGTTTTTTTTCAGCAGAAAGGCTTTGTCAATGTACATTCCATCAACATCATACCTTTATTCAGCACAGAATATTCTCATTTTAAAAAATGTTTTTCACCCCTAGCTGATTTGGCTCAGTGGATAGAACGTCAGCCTGCAGACTGAAAGGTCCCAGGTTCCATTCTGGTCAAGGGCACACGCCAGGGTTGAAGGCTCGATCCCCAATAGGGGGCGTGCAGGAGGCAGCCAATCAATGATTCTCTCTCATCATTGATATTTTGATCTCTCTCCCTCTCCCTTACTCTCTGAAATCAATAAAAAATCAATGTTTTTCAGTATCTCAAGAGCTACCAGGAATTGTCAGAGAAGGTGTCTGGGTTGCAGCAAGAAAAGGAAGCTCTACATAAAGAATATGGGAAATTTTTGAAGCAGCTTGATGTCCATGTGAGGTAAACAAAAACAAGTTCTCTTTGGGAGGGAAATGTTTGCTTTGCCTCCAATACACCCTTCTCACTTGCCTTCAGGCTTTTTCTCCTCACTGTTTTCCTCAACCTGGACCACCCTCTCCCCATTTCAACTCTTCATTTCAAATCATAATTCTTAGACCTTCTCTAAGAAGCCTTTCTTGACATCACCAGCCTGGGCTGGGAGAAGTGTTCATTCTCTGTCTTCCTATATCGCTTAGTATATGCCTCTCTGTACTTATTTAAGAATTTGCCACGTTGTTTTGAAATAATGTGACTTATTGCCTGTCTTCCTCACCATACTGTTGACTTTTCAGGGGCATGGGCCACAGTCTCACTCATCTTTTTATCCATAGTTCCTGGTACATAGTAGGTGCTCAATAAAAATGAGTGTTCCTGGAATTCCTGCTCTTTCATTCCATTTCCTGGTCATTCCACCAGATTCCTCCCACTCTCCTCTGCCCTGGAATGTAGCACAGTAGTTCGAGTATGGGCTCTGGAGCCATACTGCCTGTTACAAATCTTGGTTCTACTAGAAAGTAGCCGTGTGACCTTGGGTGAGTTATGTAAACTCCCTGTGTCTGAGGGCTCTCATCTGTAAAATGGGCAAAATCACAGTTATCTCGTAAAGTCGTTGTAAGAATTAAATGAATAAACATGCAAAGTGCTTACTTAGAACAGTATCTAGCACACAACCATTATTATATCTATTCATATGTCGTGTTTTCTCTATGACCAACCTCTCTGCTCTCATCTCTTAGTCTTGTTTTATTCCTTTATAGATTGAAGTTTCTTATTCTTTTATGTTCTTACCTACTATGTTGATGATGCTAATGATAATGACTTAAAAACCATTATTTACTGCTGTCTAGCAGGGAGTATTTTTCAGGTCAATAGTATTCATTATCTTGCTTTGATTATCATATTACTGAGAAATGTAGGAATCATGGTCAGGGGAGTACATGTTGTTCAGTTCATGCTGCTTACAAATCTTAGGTGAGAACTCAGTCCTCTGATAACCTATGCAGTGCTCTTTCTACATTAGAGGAGGTAAGAGAATGAAATGGTGGATCTATATGTAAAATGCCACAATGCTTGTCAGAGGAATTGACATTTAATATATAATGCTGACACATGTCAGGTTAATATCAAACTCCAAAAGTAAAATTACATTTGGTTTTTAGGAGTTACATTTTCTTTAAAAATATATTTTCACTGATTTCAGAGAGGAAGGGAGAATGAGAGAGAGATAGAAACATCAATGATGAGAGAGAATCATTGATCGGTTGCCTCCTGCATGCCCCACACTAGGGATTGAGCCCACAACCCAGGCATATGGCCTGACAAGGAATTGAACTGTGACCTCCTGGTTCATAGGTTGACACTCAACCACTGAGCCATGCCGGCCAGGCAACAATGCAAATTTTTGGAAAAAACACACACCTAGAATCCATCCCATGTTCACTCCTTGATTTTATTATCATAGGAAGAAAAATGGTTATATTCTCTTTCTCTTAATATCATCTCATAAGCATTGTTCACCGTGGCTACAGTCTTTCAATTTGCTTATTTTTTAAAGTATAACATTTCATCAAGTTGATATGTCCTTGCACTAACAGTGCCAGTTAAATTGGGTTTGATTGCTAAAGAAGACTAACAGAACCCCAGCGACAGTGCTTACAAAGGTACAGCTCTGCAGGAGAAGGCACAATGTGGCAACAGAATGGAGTCGGGATACGCACCACACCCATGGCTCTCTCACAGCGGGCAGTCCGAGCAGTTAGGCAGGAGCCCCAGGGGTCTTCCCTCTGTAAGGGCCCTGCCTGGAAGCAACTCCTCTCACGGGTCACGAACCACAGACATGCACTGAACACCTCACAACCAGGGATCCCAAAATGGAATAGAACCACAGACATACACTGAACACCTCACAACCAGGGATCCCAAAATGGAATCTCAACTAAGATTTTTTTTAAATGCTCTGCTGGTCATGTGAGTATATCTCTGCTATGTAACCAGCCTCAAGAGAGCCTTAAGAGCAGAGCCTTCCTGGGTTCTCCCTGAGACTGGTGCAAATCATCAATCTCATTGTTACCAATAAACAGTGCTGACAAGGTGGTGCAAACTGCCATGAAACTCCTTGGACCTACGGTTACAAAGCAACACACTTGTAATCAGTATTTTCATTCCTTGACCAGTGGTCAGTGCCAAGAACTTTAGCAAAACAGCTCAGAGCAATTCTAGGTCTGCTGGAGTCAACTCTCACAACACAGTCCTAATTTAGTGAAAATTACTCACAGGTCTGTGAGCGATGTTTTTGTTCGAAATAACACTGAAAAGTGTTTTTTCATTTAAAATTCTTTTTATAGCCCGACCGATGTGGCTCAGCGGTTGAGCATTGACCCAGGAACTCAGAGGTCACTGGTTCAATTCCCAGTCAGAGCACATGCCCAGGTTGTGGGCTCGATTCCCAGTGGGGGGCATGCAGGAGGCAGCAGACAGATGATATTCCTTTCTTGTTGATGTTTCTCTCTATATATCCCTCTTTTTCCTCTCTCTCTAGAAAAATCAATAAAAACATATTTTTTTAAAATTAATTTTTATAGAATATATTCCCAGATATGGAATTACTGGTCAAAAAGCTATAATAACAGCTTGACAAACATTCAGAAGCATCCTACCAAAATTTTGCCATCATTATATAAGAGAAGCAATTTCACCACATCCTCATTAGTATTGGGTGCTGCCATTGATGAAATTTTTGCAATATTCTTTTTTTAAATTGAGGTATAACTTACTTATAAAAATGCACAGATTTCAAATGTACAACTTGATGAGTTTCCACAAATGTATACACCGACATAACCACTACTTCAGTCAAGATACAGAACATTTCCATTACCCCTTAAAGTTCTCTCCGACTTTTTTGCAGTTGATCTGTATCTCCTGCTCCCCCACCCACTCCCAGGCATTCACTCTTCCGGTTTCTGTCTCTCCTAAAACTTCATCTAGGAGGAATCATACTGCATGTAATCTTTTGTGTCTGAACTTCTTTTGCTTAACATGTGCTATGAATTTTAATGCTTACATTCTCATAAATTACTTCATTATTATTTTATTTTTAATTTCTTTGATGGGCAGTGAGGCTGAATATTTTTCCATGTTATTTGTCCAGTGGATCCTAACCCTAGCTGCATATGCCTGGGCCCCAACATAGATTAATGGAAGCATTATCTTCAGATAAGGCTTAGGGATTAATATTCTGCTAAAAGCTTCCCCATGTGATGCTGATGTGCATGCAGGCTGAAAACTACAGCTTTGGGAATGAAAATGGAAGGATCTGTCAAAACTCTAGGTTCAAAAAATACAAAACAAAACAAAAAATTCCCATCAACAACAACAACAAAACCCTGTAGGTTCATTTCTGTTTTCATTCCCCTGGTCCCCCAGTCCTGACCTTTACAGACAATGCTCATTTTTTCCATGTTTTCCCAACCACTCTTCCAGAGGAACAAATTCCTTGCTGCTTTGAGGTAAAAATAATAGAAAGACCATCTGGTTTTACTTAAACATGAGCTAAAAGCTGTCCCTAAATTTTAGAGCATCAGTATTGTGCTGCCTCAAGTGCTAGTAGTTAACAAAGCACATGTTGGCAAGTTGGCCAACAGAACTTCTGACCAAACCCAGAGATGTGCCAAACATCGAGCCAGCAACGGCAAGGGAAGGGCTAAGCCCTCACTTGTACTGCATCAACATACTCTTCAGACCATGCATAACACTACAGGAAGAAACCTGAACATCCAGCAATAGGAACTAGTTAGGTCTAGTATAATACATTCATGGAACATATTATAACTGTAAGAGATGGTGGCTATGAAGACTAGATAGCATGGGAAAATAATTATGATATAATCAATGACAAGAGCATAAGATAAAAATTTCAATGTAGACTATGTTTAAGCAAAAGATGCTTACAAAAAGACTAACAGGAAATACAACAGTATTATAATACTGATCATATTGGAAGTTGGATTTCCAAATTTTCTATAATTTAGCATGTATCAAATTTTCCTTTCTTTAAAAAAAATGTATTTTTATTGATTTCAGAGAGGAAGAGAGCAATAGAAGCATCAGTGATGAGAGAGAATCATTGATCGGCTGCCTCCTGCAGCCCCCTACTGGGGATCAAGCCCACAACCCAGGCATGTGCCCTGACCAGGAATCGAACCGTGACCTTCTGGTTCATGGGTCGATGCTCAACCACTGAACCACACTGGCCAGGCAAAATTTTCTTTTTAAGGCTGAATAATATTCCATTGTATGTACACACCATATCTTGTTTATCTATTCATCAGTTGGTGGAAATGTGGGTTGTTTCCACCTATTGGCTTTTGTGAATAGTGTTACTATGAACATTCATATACACGTTTTTATCCACATGTTTTCTTTTCTTTTTTAAAAAATATGTTTTTATTTATTTTAGAGAGAGAGAGAGAGAAACATTGATGAGAAAGAAAAACATCAATACGCTGCCTTCTGTGCATCCCCTACTGGGGATTGAGCCCACAACCTGGGCATGAGCCCCGACTGGGAATTGAACTAGTGACCTCTTAGTGCATGTGAAGATGCTCAACCAATTGAGCCACACCAGCTGGGCCATATGTTTTCATTTTCTTAGACTTTCTCTAGGAGTGGAACTGCTGGGTCATATGGCTCTATATTTACTCGTTTGAGGAACTGCCAGGCTTTGTCCAAAGAGGCTGTACCATTTGATATTCCTAATATCAGTGTATGAGAGTTCCAATTTTTCCACATCCTTGTCAGCACTTGTTATTATCTTTCTTTTTTATCTTAGCCATCCTAGTGGCTGTGAAGTTATATTTCATTGTAGTTTTCATTTGCATTTCCTTAATAGCTAATAATGTTGAACATTTTTTCCTGTGCTTATTGGCGGTAAGATTTATGTCAGAATCAGAATAAAAGTCTTGAGCAGAGCAGAGACCTATATAGAATTTGCATTTAAAAGTCCAGACTCAAGGTAAGGACTGAGAGCAGACCTAGTTATCTGGAAAATAGACAATATTGAAGTGGGTTATATTACTACACAAGGGCATAGCTAAGAACTAGGAAATTTAAAATTGATGACTGAATCAGTGGAGCAGTGATCAGAAGTCAAGGAGTTTCCAAAATTACACTCATCAGCTCAAGACCAAGATAAGCCAGAGACGGATCAGAAGTCAAGGAGTTTCCAAAATTAAACTTGTAAGCGTAGCTTACACTCATCAGCTCAAGACCAAGATAAGCCAGAGACTTGAGTCCATGGTGATGAATAAAAGCTGGTGTTCTCTAGGTCCATTCCCCTACTTGAGGGCAAAAAGTACTGCCGAGCTGAGGCAGGACAAGTATCCCTGTCTGGTGCCAGGCCCTGACAAAACAAGAAGAGGAAACCCAAGAGAGGTGCATATTGAGGAGGCAAAATAAAATTTCACTGTGTTCAAGTGTGCCTGTTTTCAAATTTATTTTTATAGAAACTATAATAAAAAACATTATCATCACAAAACCAAGCTTCACAGAGTCAAGAGTCGTTTCGTTCACGAAGTAGAGCTTCGAGACGAGAGAATTAAACTACTTGAAAATGACATTGGAATACTGCGGCAAAAATTAGAAAAGGTGAGCGTGAAAAAGGTGACGAGCTCACTGATGGTGCTGGTGGTCAGTCATGGGAAACCCCCTCATTTAAAAAAAATTTATTTGTGGCCTCTTCATAGCCCATGTTTTCATGTCTTTTCTTTGCACCTTCTTTCAATAACTGTTTAAGCTCTGCCAAAAAGGAATTTAAGACTCATAGTGATGTTCAAACTGGACACTGAAAATCGTCTGCACTGCCTGCTTATAGTTGTGTCTTGCCTTCAAGTGAAAATATATTTTCTTAAACACCCGTCAGCAAAGAGTGCCGAAACACCTTCAGTAACTCATTCCTTCCTAATTTCTATAAGCCCTCATTTGCCTCAAACCCCCGTTAGTTTTAAATGGCTGTGAAACTAGGTCATCCCTACTCCTTTATCAATCCTCAATTAGTGCCTACAAGCTTATTTCTAAATACCCATGCTTTCCTTATGTTTGCCTTATTGCCATTATGACTTGCTGGTGTGTGGGTAGGGAGGACATGGGGCAGGTGGATAGAATCCAAGGCAGAATGGTCTTGAGATCATTAAACTACATAAATTCAAAATGGAGAGCAATGGACTCGGCCAGTAATGTTTTCCCTTCATTTTCCTCATCTGTGAAGTGGGGGAAATATATCCCTCCCTCACCAGGATTAAAATATGAAATGCCTAAAGTGGTACCTGGCCCATATAAATTTTTGTAGCCTTCTTTTCGGTGTAAAATCTCTTGGGCTCATGTTAATCAGTGGGTGCACAGTTCGCAAGAGAACTTGTTACTAGAATTGGAAATCACCCAGAGAAGACCCACAGTGGTACAAACCTGGTGGTCCAGAATTTACTTATTTTAGGGCCCATGGACCAGAGCCCTGAGCATTAAAAAGCTGGGCTCACTTTCTAAGCACCAAATGTCCAGAAAATAATGTCACCTTTTGGGGCTTAATTTTTCAGCCTTCTCTATATACAGTGAACCAGTTGAGTCCTCTGACTGTTGTTACCGACCAAACCAGATGTCCCCAAATATTTTACCCTATTATTGGAGCAAGTGTCCTGATTTTTTTGGTTCAAAGAAGTATGGAATTTCCAAAGGACAGGGTGTCAGTAGCCTGCCCCACTCAGTTTCCTCACTAATCCAGTTGTGGCTGCATAGAGTATTATTTTGGGATGGCTCCTTCTATTCTCAATCCTAACCATAAATGTATTTAAATAATATCAGGGGAGACTACTGTTAGACATTGAAGGGCTCTGGATGAAAGACTAAAATCTGGTTTGTTTCAGAACATAATATAATCTCCTTCTTTATAACTCTCTGGTGGATAGTTTTTTCCTTTTCTTTCTTTTTTTTGAGATATAATTGACATATAACATTATATTCGTTTCAGGTATACAACATAATGATTCTGTATTTGTATATATTACAAAATGATCCCCACAATAAGTCTAGCTAACATCCAGCACCATACATCGTTATGCATTTTTTTGTGATAAGAACTTTTTAAAATGTACTCTTAGCAACTTTCAAATATAAAATGTAATATTGTTAACTATAGTCACCATGCCAGACATTGCATCTCCATGGCTCATTTATTTATAACTGGAAATTTGTGCCTTTTGACTTCCTTCACCCATTTTGCCCACGTCCCCCCTTGTCTCTGGCAACCACCAATTTGTTTTCTGTTTTTTATTTGTTTGTTTTTTATTTAAGATTCCACATATATGGACAGTTTTTTTCTGAATGTTCTATATTAGTATATTATTTTAAAGAAAGAAAGAAACTTACCCCTCTTAACTCTGTGATTCACCCCTCTGCCGGAGGTCATTCTTCTCCTACCCCCACTTCCTCCACCCTTGGCAGGTGAGGAACACACATGAAAAGGTGAAAGCTCTTGCCTGCTACTATTTTGTTGTTGTTAATCCTCACCAAGGATATTTTCCCATTGATTTTTAGAGAGAGTGGAAGGGAGGGGGAGAGACACAGAAAGAGAAACATTGATGTGTCATCAATTGGTTGCCTCTTGCACGCACCCCGGCCAGGGCCGGGATGGAGCCTGCAACCAACCGAGATATGTGCCTAACTGGAATTGAACCTGGGCTGACACTCTATCCACTGAGCCAAACTGGCGAGGGCCTTGGTACTATTGACAGTAACTGGTGAAATGAGAAGGGAACTTTTACACTTTTGAGCTCCTAAAGTCTTCAACAACAGATATTTACTAATAATATCTACTGACTCACTATAAGAATGTTAGTGCTTTTTTCACAAAAAATACTCCTTTTTCGTTTTAGCTACTTCACTAGCTATTGTTTTCAGGGGAAATCATTGGTAGAAAATGAAGCATGGTGCCCAGCTAGAGATCATTTCAGCATCCTCACTGCAGGAATCCTATTAGTGCCTGGCTGACATGCTTGACTTGCCAACCCAACTGAGATCCTGATACCGGTTGCCAAGTCAGGTGGCTGAATTCCCATCTTCCTCTCTTTGCCTTAAAAATACTATAACTACAAAGCAAGTGGAAATCCATTATGGGGAATTTTTTTTCAATCTGGAGCTTCAAAGAATTCAGTTGTATTTGACTGTGATTTGATATTAATGTAGTTAGAATATAGTTGAGATCATTGGGACCTTATTAGAAGTTGAGTGCTCAGATAACCTAAAAGAATGAGTAAATATCCAAACAAAATACATGACATAAGTACCCAAATTATATAGAACAATCTAGCTGACAATGTCAGCAAAAAAGGTGAAAACAGCCTAGACCACAAGAGAGAAAAAGTAAATAAGGGAAATTTGCTATCGGAGTTATAACCAGGCTGATGTTCTTAAACTGATCATTTTTCTTCCTGTGGTAATTAGGGGGCTTTTGCTTTTACTCATAGGAGAAGGCATTCCAGGACCAGGTCACTGCCCAAAATGATAACCTGCTCCTAGAAAATAGGAAGCTTCTGGAGCAGCTCATGGAGCAAGAAAAATTGATCCATGACAACAAATGCACGATATCGTCTGTTCAGCACAGGTGGGTGTGGTCCTGCCACAGTTGCCAGTGAACTCTAAAGGAGATGTTTCTCCCTCAACAGAGAGATGCTTCCTGAGACTGTCCTTTGAGCTTATGTCCTATCTCATCCCTGTTGCTCTGCTGTCTGCTGTTTTCAGCAGTTCATACAAGGGGCAGAAGTTGTGAAACCACAGAGAAAAATATCATGGAGAAGGTGGGCTGGCCATTCAGGTAGGCTCATTCATGATGGCATTGCCTCCTTGAGGACCCACTATGCTCATTCTGGCCTATCACTTTGTGTGTGTTGACACTCATTTCTATCATTTGATACCTATGGAATCAAGGTAGACCAAGAGAGAAACGGGCTCACACTAGTAACTTAAATTCATGAAACTCACAGGCTACCAATGTATTAATTTGTGAGGAGGATATTCTCAGCAGATAAGAATTCACAGATCAGCTAGCTCAAGCATTCTCTCCTCTATAGGAAACTTTAATTACCATCAAAAGTTTCCTCAGAGCACAGAATCAGAGCAAAGAGAGTGGGCTGATCTTAACAGACAGTATCACCAATAGTACCTATAATAATTAACACTTTTTTGAGCATTTGCTATATGCTAGGCACTGTACAAAGCTATCTCTAAATATATTTATTTTGCCAAATCACTATTATAACCTATTTTATGGGTGAGAAGCTGAGGTCCAGATTGGTTAGGGAACTCACCCAGTTTAGTCAGTGTCAGGGCAGCCTGATACCAGACCTCACGGCACTGCAGCCTGAGGAGAAATCTGCCAAGCAAACTAGAACTTTCCTTTCCACTGATATGGATACATGCTGCTCCAGGCAGGCATGGAGAAGCTCTGATTATCTTTTACTATCTATTTACCCCCTTTTATATATTCCACATAATTTATTGCCCTTCTCAAACTATACCCTTGCTTCTGACCATCTCAACTCAATTGACTCTTTAAAATGCAACTCAGCTCACTGAAATTCCTCTTGCTGTGTCTCCCCATTAATAATGTCCCTGTCTTGCCCTAACCGGTTTGGCTCAGTGGGTAGAGCGTTGGCCTGCGGATTGAAAGGTCCCAGGTTCGATTCCAGTCAAGGGCATGTACCTTGGTTGCGGGCACATCCCCAGTAGGAGGTGTGCAGGAGGCAGCTGATCGATGTTTCTAACTATCTCTCTCCCTTCCTCTCTGTAAAAAAATCAATATATTTTAAAAAAATAAAATAAAATAATGTCCCTGTCTTGCCCTCCTGAAGACACATTTGGTCACCTGGACTTGACTTATGTTTTCCTTAGAGTAAGCATCTCTACAGGAGTTTTCCTCATTGTACAGATGAGGAAACAGGCTCATATTTAGTAATTTGCCCTGGTCGCACAGCTAGTAAGTGGCAAAACTCAAACATAAACCTCTGATTAAAACGATTGCACTCTCATGTGTCCTGTATACACTGCAGCCCTGCTGAGTGGGCCTGGCAAAGCGGTGAGGACCTCGGGCTTTACAAGTTTGAAAGTTCTGGGTTGGCATCCCAGCTCTATGACTTTCTAGTTTTATCTTCTTACACAAATTACTGTCCCCTCTCTGAGCTTCAGTTTCATCACCTGTAAAATAGGCTTCATAACAATATCTTGTGAGGTTGTTGTGATGATTATATGAGCTAATTAGAGGCCCGGTGCATGAATTTGTGCACCAGTGGGGTCCCTCGGCCTGGTCTGCAGAATCGGGCTGAAACTGGCTCTCCAACATCCCCCGAGGGGTCCCAGATTGCGAGAGGGCGCAGGCCAGGCCGAGGGACCCCACAGGTGCACAATCGGGGCCGGGAAGGGACGCAGGAGGGCTCCAGTGAGTGGCCGGTCTTGCTCAGCCCTGATTGGCTGGACCCCAGCAGCAAGCTAACCTACCAGTTGGAGCATCTGCCCCCTGGTAGTCAGTGCACGTCATAGTGAGCAGTTGAGCTGCCTTAGCATATCATTAGCATATTACGCTTTGATTGGTTGAATGGATGACTGGCCGACCAGACACTTAGCATATTAGGCGTTTATTATATAGGAATACATGAAAAGTTTGAAGTGCTTTCTGGGTGGATAGGTTCCAGTGCCTAAGTACATGGTAAGTACTCAGTAAATGGTTGCTGCTGCTGCTACTAATGTATGGGATGACTGCATGAGATCAAACCAGATGCAGGCTGTGTAGTTACTGTCTTTGAAGGGATGCGGAGTCTCCTCTTTCAGTTCCACTCCTAAATGGGATCATATCCTTCTTGATGTGACTCAAGGGCTAGAACTATGCCTTTCGTTCTCTTGCACATAGTATGTCTCTGCTCTCGGTAGGTATTGAATGACTATGTACAGGCCAGAAGCTTATTAATTTTCACTTGGTATGTTGGTTCTAAAATCTGGACAGTGGGCTAAGACCCAGAGCTAGTGGGAAGTGGGACATAGTTTTTAATAATAATGTAGAAATTTTTAGTCATGCCTCTGATTTATCCCATTCTTAGAGTACTTTTCCTGGATAAAGAAAATAAGCATTTACAGGAAAACAGTCTCCAGCTCACAGAACAGGTTGGCCTCTTAGAACGCATTATAAGAAGCATCCAGATTTTCAGAGGAGAGGTAAGCTATGAGCTTCCTGGTAGATGTTTAATATGAAGTTTAAGTTCTTATGGTTGCTCTGTTCTCTCTTCCCTTCATCTTCTTTATATGGCTGTCGCCTGAACTTGGCCTCATGGTGGACTGTGGTAGAGAGGCTCATTGCCTGCACACCAGGGCAGCAGCCTCTGAGTCTGTTTTTGGCCAGCTTTGCCCTTTATTCGATCAGCTTTTACTAAACACTCTCCTTCTGTGTGGTCCTAGGGCAAGTTGTGCATGCCTCATAACTTCTTCCTTAACACTCTCCATTGTCATTGCCCTTTTACTTCTTCTCCAGCTCATCAACTCAGCGATGAGATCCTGGATCAAAGATTGTATCTTATCTGTAATTGTATCTATGCACAGGTGCTCCATAAATATTTGAGAATGAATTAATGTTCAATGTCTTCACATGTATGCCTCATTCTCGACAACCCTGTTTGCCATGTATAGTTCCAGTCCAATCTGAGAGATGAGCAAATCTGAGGTTCAGAGAGGTAAAGTGAAGCTAGTCTGGTCTGGCAAGAAGTCAAACCTAAGGAAAACATCTGAGTCAGAAAAAAGCAATTATGTTACAAAAATCCAAGCAGACAGGTAGTATAGGTTCAGACAAGGTCCAGTGTCTGGTTGGTGAGCGAGTCAGCAAGAGGAATTTCAATGAGCTGAGTTGCATTTTAAATCCAGAACAGAGACTTCCTTGCTTTCTTCCCTGGCTTGTATCTTAGGTTATATGTTTCTTCCCAGGGTACTTATAATATTATTCCTAATCATGAAAACTTTAAGATCTACTCTCTTAACAACTTTCAAATATACAGTATTGTTAACTATAGTCATCATGTTGTACATTACATCCCAGGATTTATCATGTAACTGCAAGTGTGTACCTTTTGACCATCTTTACCCAATTCCCCCACCCCCTACCTCTAGCAACCACAGATCTTATCTCTGTTGCTGTGAGTTTGTTCATGAGATTTCACATACAAGTGAGATCATATGGTATTTGTTTTTCTCTGACTTATTCCACTTAGCATAATGTCCTTAAAGTCTACCCATGTTATCACAAATGGCAGGATTTCCTTCTTTTTTATGGCTGGATAGTATTCCACATTGTGTGTGTGTGTGCTTAACAATTTCTTTATTAATTGATCCATAATGGATACTTGGTGGCTTTCATGTCTTGGCTATTGTAAATAATGCTGCACTTAACATGGAGTGCAGATGTGTCTTCAGGGTAGTGATTTTGATTCCTTTGGATAAATACCCAGAGTGGAATTGCTGGATCATATAGTTCTATTTTTAATTTTTTAAAATATTTTTTTATTGATTTTTAGAGAGGAAGGGAGAGGGAGAGATAGAAACATCGGTGAGAGAAAATCATTGATAGGCTGCCTCTGCACACCCCACTCTGGAGATCAAGCCCGTAACACGGGCAGTGCCCTTGACCGGAATCAAACTCAGGACCCTTCAGTCTGCAGGCTGGTGCTCTATCCACTGAGCCAAACAAGCTAGGGCTATTTTTAATTTTTTGAGGAACCTCCAAACTGTTTTCCATAGTAGCTACCCCAATTTATATTCCTACAAATAGTGCACGAGGGTTCCTTTTTCTCCACATCCTCATCAGCATTTACCACCTCTTGTCGAACAGGTGTGAGGTGAGGAGATTACATTTTTAACAAAAAAAAATCTATAATAATAAAAGTGTAGTATGCTAATTAGACCAGACGTCCTTCCGGACGACCTTCTAGATGAAGCCAGGGCTGCAGCCACAGATTGAGGCAGCTGTGAGGGAGGGAGGGGTCGAAGGAAGGACGGGTCCAGGCAGCCGCTGTGGCTGGGAAGGCCTTCTCTTGTACGAATTTTGTGCATCGAGCCTCTAGTATATATACAAAGCATAGTTCTAGGATCATAGTGCCAATGGTTTATCATTACAAATTTTAAATTAATGCTTTCTTGTCTTTTAGGAAACAATACTGACTGGCATCTCTGAATATGACCCATTGAATAAAATCTTGCCCCTACCAAACTCCAGGTTAGTAAAGTCAAGACAATCATCTGTGACTGAGAGTCATGGCTGACTAACCAGTCGTGAGTTGCTGGCTTGAGAAAGCATCGCATTTAGGGGTAACTTCCTCTATATATAGTATTTAAACCTTCCAGTTCCTTCTCTCCTCACCACTGCTTCACCCCCACACCTAATAGAATCCTGACTCACGGTAGAAGATAATCCATAAACATAAATTAAAGGTAATTTTATTTGGCTGTCTTTGTGTTTGACAATTGTCAAAACTGAAATCCTACTGAAGCCTTATCCCTGTTACCCCAAAATGCTGTCAAGAGAGCCCATGCACCTAAAGTTCTCACAGGTGGCCTTTCTTAGTTTTTCTGTAACAGGTTTGGTAGAGTCAGTTGGAAGTCTTTAAGAAACTAAAGAACACAAGTCAGAAGAAGCAGTGGCAAACCCCAAGTCCCTCGAGTCTCTTTCCTGTTCACAGAATTCTGAAGCTGGATACATACATACACTGTGGATTCTCTGAAAAAAAGTACATCACATCTACGAACAAGTCCAAAAGTCAGAACTATAAAATCACTGATGTCTAAAACTAGACTCATCAAAGCTGCTCACTTAAAGCTTGGACATGAAGGTGGAACATGACATGGAGAAGTTATAATAGATTTCCTGCTGGACGTCAACCAGGAATCTTCAAAATTGCTGATAAATTCATTAAACCAGTTCTAAATATGGATTTTTCAAGTTTGTTTGATATTGATCAATATAGTGACTTAAGTTGGTGGTTTAATTAGGTTTCTATTCAGCAGAACACAAACATGGCTAATTCGGCATTCTTTCCTATTTTCATGGGTATTTCCTTACTTTTTAAAATTAAAAACAATGTAATCACATTAAAGCAAGTATTTTAAAAAGAAGAAAAAATCCCTTTTATAATCCCACATTCTTAACACTACTATTTTCATTTTGGAGTTATTCCCTTCTGGTTCTTATTCATGTATCTTAATGGTTATTATATTATATTTTCATAGTCTTATTTTTAATTTAATATACCATAAAACATTCTCCCATATTTAAACACTTTACAATTATTCTTTCAATAGCCAGGATATTCTATCATGTTCATGGTCTATAAATTTTCTTGTTATTTGACATCCAAGTTGTTTCTACTTTTTCACTATTTAAAGATTATGCTGCAGTGAAAGTCTTTGTGAAGTTAGCTCCTTTCTTCTCTTAAGTTAATCCAGAAAATAAATTTACGATGTTGGCATAATTGGGTTAAAGGATATAAATGTTAGTTTTGGTACAACACTTACCTTCATTGCTTTTAAAAAAAAGATTGTATCAATATACTGTTTCTACAGTCAACCTCTTTAAGCCTCAATTTTATTTATTAATTTTTTTTATTGATTTCAGAGAGGAAGGGAGAGAGGGATACAGACAGAAACATCAATGATGAGAGAATCATTGACTGCTGCCTCCTCCTGCACAACCCCCAACTGGGAACCGAGCCCACAACCCAAGCATGTGCTCTGACCAGTAATCGAACCAGTGACCTCCTGGTTCCAAGGTTGACGCTCAACCTCTGAGCCACACTGCCAGGCAAGCTTCAATTTCTTGATGCATAAAATGGAACAATAGTAGTTCCTATCTCATAGGGTTGTGAGGACCAAATGAAATGAAGTGTGTATTTTGCACTGAATAATTGCTTAATAAGTGCTAGAGATCATTTATTTTTACTTGCAGTTTGAGTGTACTAGTTTTTCTATAGTCTCATCAACATTGGATATTATCAATTAAAATTTTTATTCTAAAATACTTGGTATAGCCCAGCCAGTGTGGCTCAGAGGTTGAGCATTGACCTATGAACCAGGAGGTCATGGTTTGATTCCCGGTCAGTGCATATGCCCAGGTTTGGGGCTCGAATCCTTGTGTGGGGTGTGCAGGAGGCAGCTGATCAATAATTCTCTCTCATCATTGATTTTTTCTCTCTCTCCCTCTCCCTCCCTCTCTGAAATCAATAAAAATATATTAAAAATACTTAGTATAAAACTATACTGAAGGGTGATTGCTGCTGCTGCTTCTTCCCCTTATCCCTCCTTCTCCATCTTCAATTGGAGATAGAGAGGGGGAGGGAAAAACACAGAAATAAAAGAGACCCCATAAGTTGAGACATACTGAATTTTTATGTGCAACCCCTGCCTCCTCGGACCACCAACTAAAAAGGATGATCAAAGGATATAGGAAATAATAGGTATGAATGCATGCTCTGACTCCAAATCTTGCCCACATTCACCTTCTTTCACTCAATTCATTGAATCCATTTATTGAATTGCTACTTTTTCACTATTTAAAGATTATGCTGCTGTGAAAGTCTACTATTCAATAGTAGACGTGACTAGGCACACCTGTGAAGACAGACAAGGAGAGTCTCTGCTTTCATAGTTAATATGCTATTAGGTTGGAAGATATGCTTGTGTGGCAGGGGGTGAGGTGGAGAAACTGACCATATAATTTTGGATGGTAAGTGGCATGAAGAAAATAAATCACTGCTGTATTTGTATAAGTGACTGAAGACCACTTTAGATTGGATGCAACGTTCTCATCTAAGTGACATCTAAGTGAGACGTAAACTACAAGGCGCACTCCCCGCCCCCACTAGGATCTAGAAAAGTATTAAAGACAGTTAACAGCTAGTACCAGGTCCTTAAGAGAGGACAATAGTTCCCCTTACCCGAGGTGGATACATTCCAAAACCCCCAGTGGATGCCTGAAACCATGAATGGTACTGAACTCTGTATGGTACTGCAACCCAGGCATGTGCCCTTGACCGGAGTCGAACCTGGGACCCCCCCAGTCCACAGGCCAACGTTCTATCCACTGAGCCAAACCAGGCAGGGCTCATTTACTATTTTTAATGTATGGTTCACACTGTATATACTACCTGCCCATTAGTCACTTAATAGGTGTCTTGGTTATCAGATCAACAGTCAGACTGTAGTTGATAGCAAATAACTGAAAGGAGGAAGGTGAAAACTCAAGATAAGCAGGGGAATGACTGTATCCACCCCATGACTTTGAAGAACAGAAAGGCCAGAGTATAGCAACTGTGGACAAACAATACAAAATGAGGCCCAGTCGGTGGCAGCCAGATAATCTAATGTAGGCCTTTGTACGTAAGGAATTGGATTTTAGTCTAAATACGGGAAGCCAGGAGTGATTTAGCAGACTTATTTTAAAAGCTCTAGCTACTCTGCTGAGAATGAATTGCAAGTGACAAAAATGGAAGCTGTGGCAGAACTGGGAACAAACATTCTAGTTTACTGCCTTCAAGGAAGGGGAGTGTTTGCTAAGCACACCTTGCTTGCCTGGCTGCTCTGAGTGCTGAGGATGAACAGAGTTCCTGCCTTCCTGGGGCCGGCAGAGTAGTGGGCAGGGGCAAGAAGCAACACGTGTGATGGTGCCGATATCTTAGCCGCAAGGGCCAAGGACCCTGGAGACTGCCTAGTCCAACGCCCTAGCCTGAGCGAGAATAATCTGTAGCCATGTGTGTGGGATGCCCACCAACTTGGAGCAAAAAAAGGCCCAGGCATTCCTCCTCTTCCTACCTCCTCCATTTGCACCCGCGTCCCCCTCTCCCCACCCCGTTACTCATCCCGGGCTCCGGGGAGAGTCAAGTGAACTAAGAGATAGTGGAAGTGCCCTGGCCGGTTTGGCTCAGTGGATAGAGCGTGGGCCTGCGGACTTGAGGGTCCCAGGTTCGATTCTGGTCAAGGGCATGTACCTTGGTTGCGGGCACATCCCCAGTGGGGAGTGTGCAGGAGGCGGCTGATCCATGTTTCTCTCTCATTGATGTTTCTAACTCTCTATCCCTCTCCCTTCCTCTCTGTAAAAATCAATAAAATATATTTAAAAGAGAGAGAGAGAGAGAGAGAGAGAGAGAGAGAGAGAGAGAGTCTCACTATCCCTCTCTCTGTAAAAATCAATAAAATATATTTAAAAGAGAGAGAGAGAGAGAGAGAGAGAGAGAGAGAGAGAGAGAGAGAGAGAGTCTCATGGTCAGGACCGAATGAACCCGCCGTCACCGCAGCATCACCCAGTTTCCCGGAGGAAACCCACGAGTCCTCCGCGGAGGGGGCGGGGCGGGGCTCCAGGGGGCGGGGCCCAGTCTCCAGCGGCTCTTCCCGCGCTTGCGCCGGATACCCACCCCGCGGAGTTGGGATGAGATTCGCCGGAAGCCCAAGCTCCCGACTTCTGCTTCCGGGTCAGAGCCATGGCGGTGGCAAATTCAAGCCCTGTCAACCCCGTGGTGTTCTTTGATGTCAGCATTGGCGGCCAGGTGAGGTCCAGGGAGCCACCGGCCCTTCGCCGAAAGGAAACTGCACCGGGCCAGGCAGGCAGAACCCATCCGCCTGGGGATAGCGGGCTCGGGAAGCCAGAAAGTGAATTTGTGCCAGAGCCTTCCGAACTGCGGGGCGTGCTGAGAGGAGTAGAATGAGTCTTGCCCTTCCCAGCGCCCCGCGTGTGGTAGGTCTGGGCGGAACGAAAAGATAGGCTGAGGAGGCGGAGAGATCTGGTACCTGCGGGAGGGAGGGCTCGGCCCTTCGTGGTCCCTGCTCCGCCAGGCCTTCTGACCGTCTCCCCCCGGTTGCAGGAAGTTGGCCGGATGAAGATCGAGCTCTTTGCAGACGTTGTGCCTAAGACAGCCGAGAACTTTAGGTGAGAATGAACTCCAGCTCTGCCTGAGAAACCGAACCAGAACGCGGCCTGCGGAGTGGATCTGATTCCTCTGTTTTGACTGTCCCATGTCAGTTTATGTTGTTAATCTGTATGTCTGGGGGTCTGCACGTCTGGCTGGCCGATGGGTGGGCTTGCTGGCGACCGTGTCGGCGCTCGCAGCTGTGACGTCATGGTGACCGAGCCCTTCACTCTTTTCCCTTTCAGGCAGTTCTGCACTGGGGAATTCAGGTCAGTCTCAGACGTGGTTGCCTTATCTGCTTGCTCCTGAGGGGTGTCCTGGGGCTGCAGTGAGGGTATTGGGGAACCACGGAGGCCTTGAATGTTTGCTGGTGACAGTGATTGAAGGTAATACCCCGCGGGTCTATCTTCAGTTCATTTGCCTTCCTCTCTCTGATCCCTGCCATCTTTAGGAGAGTTCAAATGTGTGGTAAACTGGAAAGGCCCATGGGTACCTGACATCATTCCCAATCTTTCTTTTTGGTTATAGAAAAGATGGGGTTCCTATAGGATACAAAGGAAGCACTTTCCACAGGTAAGGCCCATGGCAAACATCCTGGGGGCTTTTAGAATTACTTCCTTGGGGGATTGGTCTCTTTAGAGGAAAATAAAACCGTAGGATAATTCTTAGATATTGAGAAAGAATGTTTTTGTGAGCTCAAGGATTGATTGATTTAAATTACAATGACCAAGTCAATGTTTCTCTTTTTCTTTTCTTTTTTTTAAGTCAATGTTTTTCTGAACCTGAGTCTTAGTTCAGAATCTTTTGTTCTCTGTTTCAGAGTCATAAAGGATTTCATGATTCAGGGTGGAGATTTTGTTAATGTAAGTACTGTTCTTTCCTATCAAGGACTTATAAACTTGTTGTGTGTTTTTGTTTGGTTGGTTGGTTGGTTGGTTGGTTATTGCTAGGTCTACTGTTTTTACTACAGGAACTCAGTCTTAAGGCTTGAGAACAATAGCCAGGCTTGATGAGGGGGTGGGTGGGGGAATGGGGATGGGAATGCTCTTGAATGTTGCTGGGTACTACTAACTGTACCATTAGATGACAGACATCAGCACTTTGATCAGCCTTTTAGAGCCAGAAACGGAACTTTCCCAGCATACCTGTAGAGGAAGCAGGACAACTCCAAATTAATTAATTACATGAAACTTAGCTAGGAATCAGTTGCAATTTATTTTAACTAAATAGTAATAAGTCCTGCCCAGCTGGTGTGGCTCAGTGTTGAGCTTCAACCTATGAACCAGGAGATCACGGTTCGATGTCAGGGCATATGCCCGGATTTCGGGCTCCATCCCCAATGTGGGGCATGCAGGAGGCAGCTGATTGGTGATTCTCTCTCATCATTGATGTTTCTATATCTCTCTACCTCTCCCTTCTCTGAAATCAATAAAAATACATTTTAAAAAAATAGTAGTAAGTCCCTTTCCAATGAGCTAAGTGCTTGTGTCCCATTTTCCCTTCCACTCCTGCATCGCAGTGCCTGGAAAACTGAGTTTTTAATCAGAAGTTGATTAGTGGACAAGGAGTCAGCAAGAGAGGTAGATAATTCTGGAGGGATGTTTCCTCTAATCAGTGGGAGAGCCCAATGGAATAGTCCTCTATTAAGCATGACTTTCTTTTGAAATTGTGTGTGTGTTCCCAATATTAAGTCTTCTGCCCTCCCTTAGAGGTTGCTGTATAAACCACATTTTTTCTTTTTCTTTAAAAAAATGTTTTTATTCATTTTAGAGAGAGAGAGAGAAATATTGATGTGAGATAGAAACATCAATCATCTGCCTTCTGCACGCCCCCACTGGAGCCCGTAACTAGGGAATCCAACCAGCAGTCTTTTGGTTCATGGGTTGATGCTCAACCAACTGAGCCACATCAGCCAGGGCCATTTTTTCTTTCTTAAACCTACTTTTGTCCAAACCCACCCGCTTCTATACATGGTCTTTCTTATTAGTATCACTTAAGTAGCCATGTTGCTGATTTCTTGGATCTGGGAGACATTCTTTCTCTTTCACATGTATACTTATTTATTGACTTAGGAGTTTTTAAAGATCTCTCTCTTTCCTATCTAGGGAAGGTTACGAAGTGGCAGATTTTAGGGAAAATCAGGCTTTCAGATATGTTTTGTTTCATCTGTATGATGTTGTAAAAGTGGTAAATTTCACCAAAAAGTTCTGGAGTTTTGTTTTCTCTCTAAATAATGGAAAATGCACTAGGCTTGTGTTTCTCATGCAGTGACAATTGGTTGGAATTAAATAACTGCTCCTTTTAGGCAAGGTGTGTCCTTGCCATTTTACCATAGTCCCTACCATCTGCTTCCCTTATTTATGTAACCTGCTCCATAGGCAATTAAGTTTGCAACCCTTGGCCACTACTGATGGTAGTAGAACTTAGAGTGGCCATGTGCTTTTTTTTGTTAGCTGGTAAAAAGTGCTGCAAAGCTATTCTGCCTTTTTCCTTTCTTACCATGGGCTCTATTATTGCCATATTGGTCTAGCAGGGACAGGACCAACTTTTTACTGGTCATTGCTAGGCACATCCAATCATTTGCTGATAGCCCCAGGATTAGACAATAGTTGATCAGCCAGAAGGCTGAGTATTAGAAGCAATTGCTCAGAACCACCCTTAGATAATTAAAAATAGAATGAGCAAGAGGCAAAAGAAGCAGAATTTAAGACATTCTAAAGTTAAACCAAGAATATTTGTTTATTTTAGTCATACTTGTTTTTCTTTCTGGCTGTAAAAGAAAAGTGCAAAAAATAAAATGTCATCTCTCAAGGTATAAACTCTTGTCATTTTAGTTTAAAGTTTCCAGTCTTATCTTTGCAAATGTATGTGTGTCAAATACAATTTTTAATGGACTTAGATCACATATGTTTTAATTTTTTTGTACTTATTGTCTGAATTTTCCCTTGTCATGAAGTCTTCTTCCAAAACATTTTTTTCTGATAGCTACCTAATAGTCCATAATGAATAGACAGTGAATTTATTTGGTCAGTTCACTATTGTTAAAGATTTAAGTTGCTTTCTGTTGTTTGTTCTGAAAATTAATTTTGTCATTTTCCCTACTCTGGCTTCTGGAGAGCAGTAGATAGTTTGATTACAGAGAGTGATGTGGTAACTGATATGTCCCCTGGGTTTATTGGCAAATTAGAGTCCTCCCCTGGACCAATCAACTTTGGCCAGGAGGGTAGTATCACATTGTACACTCTAGACTTCTAAGAGCCCACCCACCCACATACTTTGGGGGAGGGGGGAACAGTCATTTAGGTGGAAATTTCTATATGCTGCAGGCATGGGAGTCTCTAGGAATGGCAAGGATTATGTATGTGGTCACTGTATGGTTCCCTACTTTGCCAGGGTCTTAACCTATCTTTCTAGAGGCCCAACTGTGACCTCTTTTACCCAATCTGTGAGAAGGCCTGACCAGTTTGTGGGCTGCAGGTGCCTTGAAAGGGGCTTGCTTTGATTGTAGGATAGGATCAAAGAGGTGTGGCTCCCAAAGTGGCCAACAAGAGTGGACTTTAAGGAAGTCCACTAGGATCTAGGTGCAGCAGCTGTCTTTTTCCAGCCTTTGGGGGGCCCAGCATGTACAAGTTGCTAACACTTCCCTTCTGTTTGCTCAGGGAGATGGTACTGGAGTTGCCAGTATTTACCGGGGGCCATTTGCAGATGAAAATTTTAAACTTAGACACTCAGCTCCAGGCCTGCTTTCCATGGTAAGTGAGGTCCAAATCAAGATTTTGGGTTAGATTTATAGCCAGCTGGTTTCTGGGCCCCTCTTGAGGCTCAGTGCTGTGTCTTTAAATGGAAGCAAATGCTTTTCTTTTCTTGCTCAACCCAGGATTCACCTCTGTCATGCCTACTTTTTTCATCAGTCTGGTTTGATTTTGTTGGGCTGGGAAGTGAAACTGAACTCGGCTATGTGTTTCCTTCCTTTTTTAAAAAAATGTTTTTATTGATTTCCTAAAAGAGAGGGAAGGAGGGAGGGAGGGAGGGAGGAAGAGAGGGAGAGATAGATAGAGAGAGAGAGAGAAACATTGATGAGAGAGAAACATCAATCAGTCAATCAGTGTATGACTCCCAATGGGGATCAAGCCTATAACCTGTGCATGTGCCCTGACCGGGAATTGAACTGGCAACCTCTTGGTGCATGTGTCGGTGCTCAACCAACTGAGCCACAAAGCCTTTTGTTTGAGTCAAAACATGTGGCTGGGCATTTAGCCTTGCTGCTCAGAATGCATCCAGTCGTGCTTTCAAGATCCAATGCTCATTCGTTCATTGCTCGGCTTGCAAAGACTCTCAGTGCCATTCACTCACACTGCCTACTGGCTGGTCACTCCCTTCCATTCACTTACCTCTCCTTGCTCACCACTCCTACTCCTTTGTCCTTGCATTCCCTCCCTACATATAACACTCACTCACACATGTCACTCCGCTTTCACAGTCCCCCTGCCCATCTCACTTGAAACCCCTCATGTACCCTACCCCTGCTCACTCTCCATGCTCATTCCCCCTTCATTTCCCCTTATTCACCCTTCACTCCTCCTTTTCCCTTACCCCTCCCACCTTGCTTCTCTCTCACTCTCCTACCTTCTCCCTCCTCCCTGCTCATCACCCATTTCCCTCTGTCAGTGTCCCAACTCTTAATCCCCTTAGACCAGTGGTCGGCAAACTGTGGCCCCTTGAGTGTGGCTCTTCTACAAAATACCACGTGCGGACGTGCACGTACAGTGCAATTGAAACTTCATGGCCACACTCAAGGGGCCAAAGAGCCGCATGTGGCTCGCGAGCCGCAGTTTGCCGACCACTGCCCTAGACCCAATATTTACATGCACATTCTCTGTCCTGCTTGCCTGCTCTACCACTCATCTACTCAGGCATTCATCAAGTAAAGATTTGTCGATATCCACTCTGTTCCAGGCGTCATGCTAAGGCATAAGATCTGATCCCTGCCTTTGTGTCACTTAACATCTAATGGCTTCATATGTGCAAAATGATAAGTCTAGTATAGTGTAATCCATGCCATCACTGTATTAAGGTAAGGGCACCTTACTTCATGTAAAAATCCCGTGAGAGCCCCAAGGAATGAGAATAATTGCTGCTGGGGGTTGGGCAAGGCTGCTTCACAGAGGAGGGGACATTTGAGTTCTTGAAAGAGTTCTATACCAGATGACATGAGACATAGTCAAGGGACAGAAAATGAGGAAGGTGCTGAAAACAGGATGCGAATGATGGACACAGTGGCCAGTAGAGACCACTGCAGAGGCAGGTTATCTGGCTTTTGATGAGCTTCAAGTGGCAGGGTAAGGATAAGGTGTGTGGATTTTCTTTCATCAGTTATGGAGAGCCATACGCTTTTTTGAGGAGGGTTGATCAACTTTGTGTTTTAGAACAAAACCCCTAGCTGCATTGTGATGGCAGGTGGAAATGGAGAGGCTGGGGCAGAGAACCAGTCAGGAGGCTGAGGGAGACTAGCACAGCAAACAATATACAAGCCCCCCTTTAGGAAAGCCAGGCTGGGCAAGTGCAGGTAAGGAGTGAAGTGGCTTGGATCTTCCCTAGGATTAGAACCCCTCTAAGAGCATGCCACTATGTTAGCATCTATGAAAGAGTCAGGAAAATGGAAGGAAGTCTTGGTCTATGCACCCTTGAGGCTTACATTGGTTGAGTTGTGCTGCCACATACATTTTTAAAAAAATCCTCACCCGAGAATATATTCATTGGTTTTGAGAGAGAAACACATTGATGTGAGAGAGAAACATCCATTGGTTGCCTCCCGCTATGTGCCCTACTGCAACCTGGGTATGTGTCTGAGATCTTTCCGTGTGCAGGACGATGCTCCAACTAAGCCACACTGGCCAGGGCCTGCCACATATCTTGTAGCATAATTGTTTTTGCTTCTATTTTCTGCCGGAAGCCGGTCCATCCTTGCTGCTTGACACAGTCGCTGCAGGGAAGAAACATCTGCACAGCATATGTTTCAAGGGACCTGGCATATATAGCATATTGTTCTTAATATGTTTGCTCTCCTTAGTGCCATGTGTTTTAACCAAGGTCACCTCTCCCAGAAAGGTTGTTTCCCCAGGTGGGGATTTTTCCC